GTGAAAGCCTTATGTTATAGAGTTTGGGGAATCAGGAAGATGAGATATTTCCAGCCTGGCATAATGTACAAGCTGTACAAAATAATTGTTAAGTGAATAAGTAAATGAGACTAGGTGAGGTGTCTCATGCCTGTAATCCCGCACTTTGGGGGCCAAGGTGGGAGATTACCGGAGGCCAGGAGTTTAAGACCAGCCTGGGCAACACTGTGAGACCTTGCCTCTACAAAAATAAGAAAATTAGCCAGGCATGGGTGGTAGGCATGTATGTCCCAGTTATTCGGGAGACTGAGCGAGAGAATCACTTGAGCCCAGGAGTTGAGTTGGAGTGAGCTACGAATCTTTTCCACTGCACTCTAGCCTGGGCAACAGAGCAAGACCCTATCTCAAAAAAAAAAAAAAATTAATTTTAACTTATAGATACTTTACTTTTTTTCCTGTCTTGTCTGCTTTGGCTATAAATACCGAGAGAGTCTAAATCCTAGCCAATGTGATGCTTTTCCCCTGGCTCTCTATAGACCTTCTAAAAGGTGAGTAAAGATACAGATTTTTTCTTTTTTTTTTAAATTTAAAAAAATTTTTTTTTTTTTTTTTTTTTTGAGACAGAGTCTCACTCTGTTGCCCAGGCTGGAGAGTGCCGTCGAGCGTTCGAGGGCCTAGCTCACAGCAACCTCAAACTCCTGGGCTCAAGCGATCCTTCTGTCTCAGCCTCCCAAGTAGCTGGACTACAGGCATGAGCCACCATGCCCGCTAATTTTTTTATATATATTAGTTGGCCAAATTAGTTTCTTTTCTATTTATAGTAGAGACGGGGTCCTCGTTGCCTCAGGCTGGTTTCGAACTCCGACTCGAGCGATCCGCCCGCCTCGGCCTCCCAAGAGCTAGGATTACAGGCGTGAGTCCTCCCGCCTCGGCCTCCCAGAGTGCTGGGATTACAGGCGTGAGCCACCACACCCGGTCAAGATACAGATTTTGATGTAATTAGTGGTAAGGGTACACTTCCCCACCGTAATGGACTTCTGCCTTCTTCTAATCTAAGTAATCTGAGGTTATGAGTTAGGAGGGATCTAACTTTCCAGATGGGGAACAGTGGGCACCTGGCAATAGCTGGGACAGTGAGCTCATTCCTTGTGTGAAGTTTGCCATTGCTCCATAAGGCTGCCCTGTTGGTGGATTGTTTGGATCCATGTTAAGGTGGATAATCTGTATGCACCAAAATGACTGTACTTTTTTCAGATGATAGTCCTATTGACCACAGCAGAGAAAAGATCTCACCGAAGGACTTATTTCCAACACGAAAGATCATGGCTACAATTGGTACTTAACTGCCAGGATAAACACCACTTTAGGCAGATGTGGGGGTGTTGTCTTGCATGCTGGGGCTCTCTAGCATTGGTTCCTTTCACTGAACACCTGTGGAAGACAGTTGATCACAGCTTTTCCTTGTTGTCTTGTGAATTTTTTAAAATTTTATTTAAAAATTTCTCCTCTACAAAAACATCTCTCTCAGCTCCACAGAGGCCCATTTCAACACAGAGAACTACTTCTACGCCTAAGGCCGGCCCCGGGGTGGTGCGCAAGAATCCCAGTGTGGGCAATGGGGATGACGAAGCAGCCGAGTTGATGCAGCAGGTAGGCACCTCCAGTGTCTAGGATGTGGGTCACTGTGGGGGGAAGGACACTTGCTGCTGTGACCGCGGAGGCTTGTCCATGTTCTTAAAGGAAGATTTGCCTTGTCTGCTTCCCAGAGCACGATGTGTGTGAGTGCGCCAGGTGCTGTGTGGGGAGAATGAGTGTGGAGGGCGAAGAGGAAGGACCAGGCATGGCTGGGCTCTCTTAATGCAGCAAAAACCTATGTCTGTTTAGATCAAGTGGATTCGTTTTATGAAGAGAAGAAGAAGAAAAAAAATTTATAAATGAATATTTAATTAAAAAAAAAAACACCTATGTCTGTTTGCAAACCAGCAGTTAGAACCCTGTTTCTGTAACACTGTCAAGGTTCTGAGATTCAGAGAGTGAAATATAAAGGAAGGCTTCTTTCTGAATAATAATTTTTTAAAAAAAGATTCCACAGTCTTTCTTCTGAGTCCCGGGTCCTTGGAATTGCAACTGAGAGTGGAACTGGTATGAAAAGCCTGTGTTGCTCTTCTGATTCTGTTCTTAATAATTGTTCAGTGATTTGAAATGTCATCTTCAGGATCACATATCCTCAGGTACTTGTCACAGGTCTCTGTGTATCAAAACAAATTTTAGGCTTTTAGATATTTTCTCACTAATCCTTATAGTTGTTTTATTTATATGCTTTTTTTTTTTTTGATGATTCTTTTGGTTAAATCCAGATGCCCTGTGATTCCAGAGAGTTTGGGATTGAACCCTTTTAGTTTCCCAAAAGCCAAGTTTTAAAACTTGGGGGAAATGACCTCCCTGTAGTGCAGAGTCTCTTGTAATCCACGTACATGCTCCTAAGAGATCAGGACAATGGGAGCCTGCCCAAAGTTCATTTTGATTTTTTTTGTTCTTTTGTTGTGTGTGCCCCACGGTCTTAGGTGCCTTGGGAGTGTTGGGGTGACAGGGTCACCTTCCCCATCATTGGAGTCAGTGTGGCTGACTTGAGCACCCCCTGAGCATTGTTGCTGTGAAAGACAAGTTCTAGTGAATAAGGACACTTCCCTGTAACTATTTAATATTTCAAGGCGTGGGGGTGCAGAGTGGTTCATGCCGAGGCTGGGTGGCCAGTGAGCTGATCTTGTGCTCTCCAGGAGGACATGTGCCAGGTTCTGTTTCACTGCTGCTCTCCCCTCAGCTCCTGTGTCCTGTGTGGAGCACAGCCCTTGGGTTACATAGATTTGGGGAGCAGTAAAAGTGGCTTTGCCACTTCTACCTTGGCAAGTCAGTTAACCTCTCTGAATGTACTGCCTTATGTGTGAAGTGGGACTAATGCTTGCTTGCAGTAGTTGAGCAGATTACATGAACTGGTGTTAAGTCAGGTGCCTGGAATGGAGTTCGGAACCAACACCCTTGGGATAAATGGAATTGGATAAAAGACAGTTGTGGTTATTATGATTCTTGTCTGTGATCTTGATAGAGTGAAGATAGGTTCTGAAGTATTCTTTAAAAGTTCACAGGAACCAGAAATTTTTTTTGGCTTGTATGAAATAATGTGCATGAATAGTCATAACAGAAATAACTAACATTTTTAAGTGCTTATGCCATGCACTGTCTAAGCTCTTTAATTTTACTTTTGAGGTAGCCGTGTGCAATTTTACAGAAAAGGAGACTATGGCTTAGAGAGGTCAAATACCTGAGCTGAGAATTAGACCCAGGTATGCTGGCTCCAGAGCCTAGGTCACTCAGTCACTGCTGAATGGGAACTTGAAGGGGAGGTTGTATGATTTATCTAAGGAATATAGACGGTTCTTTTTTTTGCTTCCAACATTGAAAATTGTAATTATTCACCAAATAATTACTCTGGGCAAGTTGATGCTAAACATTACTGAGAATACCAAGGCATGAAAGGTCTAGCCTGGGTCTAGAAGGGGTTTTTTATATATTTGGAGAAAATTTACCTGGTGCCAGCCTGTGATGCAAGTTCCAGATGTGGAGTATGCAAAGCAAGAACTATAAATCTTGCAGGGGTGGGGTGTGGTTGGAGTCTGGGGGGAGCTGCCTTCCCCTGGGTGGTGACAAAAATTAGCTGGTTTGGATGGTCAGTGCAGTAGAACTGTAGCTGTGGAGGTTGGGAGGAGTTGTGGTCTTGAAGAGAGGGTTTGGAACTCTGTGTAGTTCGTGTCTCCACCCGTGCTGTGGAAGGGTGGAAGGCCAACATTGCAGAGGCTGAAAAGTTCACCAACTGGGCACTTCATTGATCCTGGAAGGCTGGATCACGTTCATGGCCAGCTCGTCCAGCCGTGCCATCTGTTTGTCCTGCACAGGGCTTTAATTTTTTTTTTTTTTATGAAAGATCTTAGTCTCTCCAGTTTGCCACGGCTTCACAGCTTATTACTGACTCCTTTGGCTCTATACATTATCTATCTGGCCCCTACCCCACAAAAGTATTTGAGTTTGTAGCCCTTGGTAAGTATGGGAAATAGAACCAGATGGGCCTGGTAGGCTAAGAGAAAAACAGTGTATTCTATGCAAATTACCTTGTAGTATTCATATCCTTGGAAGATCTGCAGGGAGTTCACTTTTCTTAAGTTGCCCTGGAGAAATTAGCTTTTAGTTGATTTCACTGCAAAGCAATGGTATCCAATAGAAGTAGGAGATGAATCAGAAATGTGAGGCATAGCCGGGCGCGGTGTCTCATGCCTGTAATCCTAGCACTCTGGGAGGCTGAGGCAGGCGGATTGCTCGAGGTCAGGAGTTCGAAACCAGCCTGAGCAAGAGTGAGACCCCGTCTCTACTATAAATAGAAAGAAATTAATTGGCCAACTAATACATAGAGAAAAAATTAGCCGGGCATGGTGGCACATGCCTGTAGTCCCAGCTACTCGGGAGGCTGAGGCAGCAGGATCACTTGAGCCCAGGAGTTTGAGGTTGCTGTGAGCTAGGCTGACACCATGGCACTCAACTCTCTAGCCTGGGCAACAAAGTGAGACTCTGTCTCAAAAAAAAAAAAAAAAAAAAGTAAAAAGAAACAAGTAAAATTAATTTTAGTAACACACTGCCCAATATATTAAAAATATTCCAAGGCCGGGTGCAGTGGCTCACGCCTGTAATCCTAGCACTCTGGGAGGCCTTGGCGGGCGGATTGCTCGAGGTCAGGAGTTTGAAACCAGCCTGAGCAAGAGTGAGACCCCATCTCTAGTATAAATAGAAAGAAATTAATCGGCCAACTAATATATATAGAAAAAATTAGCCAGGCATGGATGGCGCATGCCTGTAGTCCCAACTCCTCGGGAGGCTGAGGCAGAAGGATTGCTTGAGCCCAGGGGTTTGAGGTTGCTGTGAGCTAGGCTTACGCCATGGCACTCACTCTAGCCTGGGCAACAAAGCGAGACTCTGTCTCAAAAAAAAAAATTCTAACATATAATCAATAGAAATATCAATGAGATGTTTTACAGTTGAAGACTAGATGTTTAATACTTGCAGCCCATCTCAACACTGGCCACATTTTAGGTGCTTATATAGCCACATTTGGTTGATTGGTACTGTGGCCAGTGCAGGCCTGAAATGTTCTTGGGCTTCTTACATTCTCTTGCTTTACTACAGGAGAAAGTTCTAAAAGTCACCTTTTCAGGAATTCTGTGTCTTTAAAAAAAAAAATAAATAAAATAAAAGTCACCTTGATTACTATCTACAGATTTTTTTATAACCTCATGAATAAGCATTTAGAGGAGTACCAGATGAAAGCCAGTGACTTAGTAGTACATATATATTGAGTTTTTCTTGTTTACACATAGTTACTGAGTGATATCGTGGACAAATGCTGCTTTGGCCTTACAGGTGTGACCCAGAGAGCTTGGTGTTTCCTTTGGTGGCCTGATGGTTTGTAGGACAGAGAAGGTTTTAATGGGTTTGTGAGGGTGGCATTGGTAAAACATGATGTACAGATGGATTCCAAGATAGCATTCCTTTTTAAGCTTTTGACTTCCTTTCTTTCTCGGTCACTAATGCTTCCTGGCATGTGGTTAGAAGGATCATGGAACTGAAGCTCTGAGGTAGCTGCCTGCTGCTAGGGGTTGGTCAACTCTTGCCTTTCTGTCCCCCTGCTTGTACCTTACTTAGGGGCTGTTCTAGGAAAGGCAGCAAGCCCCAGCAGAAGCAGGGGTTGAGGAGATTGAGGGAAGCAGAGTATGTAGCTTTGCTGGATACTAGGCAATAGTAGTACTTTATTGAAACTTTATTTTTGAAAGTGATTTCTGTGGTTAATAAAGGAATAAATAGTGAAAGGCTGTTGAGAACTGTGATTCTTGTTTGGTTGTCCAGGACTTTGATGATGAACTTTGCATTTAGGACTTTGACAAAATTGTCTTGGGGGTCCTAGTCACTGCCCCTCATCTCTGGATGCCTCTCTTTTTTTTGAGACAGAGTTTCACTCTGTTGCAGGGGCTAGAGTGCTGTGGCATCAGCCTAGCTCACAGCAACCTCAAACTCCTGGGCTCAGGCAATCCTCCTGCCTCAGCCTCCCGAGTAGCTGGGACTACAGGCATGCGCTACCATGCCTGGCTAATTTTTTCTATATATTTTAAGTTGTCTAGCTAATTTCTATTTTTTTTTTTTTTTAGTAGAGATGGAGTCTCGCTCTTGCTCAGGCTGGTCTCGAGCTCCTGAGCTCAAACGATCCATCTGCCTTGGCCTCCCAAAGTCTGGATGTTTCTTGACTGCAGGTTATGAAGGGGAGCTTCCTTCTACCTTGCAAGAGTTAAATTGAATTAAGTTGTCATAGATTTGAACATAGTATACTGAAATGAAAGATGCAGTGTGGTTAAAGTACACACAGGACTGTGAGTGTTATGACTTTAATTGCTGTTGGGTAGATAGAGCCCTGGCCTAAGCACTGAAATTTATTTCTTCATATCCTCTTTATAGGAAACAGAGCCTCAGTGGGGCTCATGGAAGATCATACCTCCCTGTTCATTGACCTCCACATGCACCCAGACTTGGGTTTGATTGACCAGTTCCTTCGTTAAGGACACAATTTATAATTGTCAGCTACCTTCCTGGGCTGTGTTGTGGATTCTACTTCTTTATCTGTCCCAAGCTTCCCTAGTTTTTTCTCCCTGATCCTCTCTTAGTCCCTGAGAAGTTCCTGCATGTTTCAAGGTGTACTCTGCACTTTTCCTGAGAGCTATTATAGTACACATTGCCATGAACAAGTCCATACTGTTTATCTGGGGCTGAAGAAAAGTGACATTAAACTGCAGTGGTGTTTGTGTTGGAGTTTGATCAAAGACCAAACCTCCTTGGGTAGAAGTCTGTCTGATGTTTTATTGTTGCACTAATGCCAGGTATCTCACCCTTTTTAATGTCTTGTGCAGGTCAACGTATTGAAACTTACTGTCGAAGACTTGGAGAAAGAGAGAGATTTCTACTTCGGAAAGCTAAGGAACATTGAATTGATTTGCCAGGAGAACGAGGGGGAAAATGACCCTGTATTGCAGAGGATCGTAGACATTCTCTATGCCACAGATGTACGTGTTGACATAAGGATATTTTCTATTTTGCCACCTAAGAGAAAATAAGTTTTATCTAGCAGGTTTCAGCAAATTCTGCTGATTCTTGTCACGTTCCAGCATAGCATTTATCAAGAGACTTCATCTTTGGCTGGGTGGCTCACGCCTGTAATCCTAGCACTTTGGGAGGCCAAGGTAGGAGGATCACTTGAGCCTAAGAGTTCAAGACCAGCCTCAGCAACAGTAAGACCTTGTCTCTACAAAAAATAAAAAAATTCGCCAGGTGTGGTGGTACACTTCTGTAGTCTCAGCTACTTGAGATTTTTGAGGCAGGAGTATTGCTTGAACTGAAGAGTTTGAGGCTGCAGTGAGCTATGATGATACCACTGTACTGCCCAGGCAATAGAGTAAGACCTTGTCTCAAAAAAAACACAAAAAAACAAAAAAGGCTTCATCTTTGACCCCTCAAAGTCAGCCAGAGGGTAAGGTAACTCTGCTCAGCTTCAGCCTCTGCCTTGAGTTCTATGAGCCTTTGAGGAAGGAATAGGACAGGGAGGAGGTGGTTGGCTTGCCTTTCTTCTTTAGTTTGTGGCCACTAATAGGTGATGAGTGTCACCAAATGCTCTTAGCCAGAAGTACCCCCCAACCCCCACTCCACCCCCTGCAGCTTGGATCCCTCAGCATGAGGTGCTGCATCCATTTTATCAGCACCCCAGGCATGCCCTGGAGAACCAGGCACATGTTCCCTTTTTCGATGTCTATTGCCTACAACTGTCAGGCGTACCTATCACCTCCCTCCCAGAGTACTTTGTGATCAGGTTTCTTTGGATCTGTGTTTATTACATAGCCATATCTGCAGATGTTAATGATGACATATTAGCTGATCAGGGAAGACTGATTTTTTTTCCCCTGGGTTTACGATTTGGTATCTTGCTGTGTCCACTGTTTAATGGTTGTGTTTATATAACTTCTGTATGCTTAGCAAGGTCAGTGGGATCAAATTACAAATTGTAGCATGTGTAGCATTATACAAATATAAGGTAATACTAATGCTGTTTTTATCACTGTCCCCTAGATATATCTTATGAATTTTGGGGGATTAAGATTAATGACTTTTCAGTTGGAAAAAAGTTGAGAATGTGTTGAATAAATTCTCATTTAGGGCTGACTTTGTGCTATATAATGAAAACAAAGATGATGAAGATACAGGGGTTCTTAGTCCAATTGAGTATTATTTTAGTGGAGTCAGATCTTAAGTGAGTTCAGCCATAGGGATTTAGTTAAAAATAAAGGATAGTAGTTGAAGGAGAAAACTTAATTTTTACAGTAGAGTAGCACTGTCATTTCCTGCTATAAGTACATGCCAGCATGCTGTGGAGTGTGGAGAGGTGGGAGTCACAACTCTCCTTTTTTTTTATATGCTCATTTTCTCATGCCACTAATATTGGTTTGGTTTTGCTGGTGTGGGTATCTGGGGGAAAGCAAGGCTCCTAAGTACAACCAAAGGACATTGTAAAGGAAAAGCTGGTTATGTAGACAGTTTGTTGAGAGGAGATGGTAGAGTACTGAACTTCATGGGAGACTTCAGGGATTTTTTTGAGGGTAAATTTTCTGTCTTTTTAAAGACAACTTTAAGCTGGGCACGGTGGCTCACGCCTGTAATCCTAGCACTCTGGGAGGCTGAGGCGGAGGTCTGGAGTTTGAAACCAGCCTGAGCAAGAGCAAGACCCCGTCTCTACTATAAATAGAAAGAAATTAATTGGCCAACTAATATATATAGAAAATTAGCCGGGCATGGTGGTGCATGCCTGTAGTCCCAGCTACCCGGGAGGCTGAGGCAGCAGGATTGCTTGAGCCCAGGAGTTTGAGGTTACTGTGAGCTAGGCTGACGCCACGGCACTCACTCTAGGCTGGTCAACAAGCGAGACTCTGTCTCAAAAAAAAAAAGACAACTTTTTTTTTTTTTTTTTTAACATAGCTGTAGAAGATGAAAAAAGACAACTTTAATGAGGTATAATTGACATATAAACTGCACATATTAAAATTGTACATTTGATTATGTATGAAATCATCACCATAATCAAGACATTATACATATTCATCACTTCCAAAAGTTTGAGGATAAATTTGATTGTGCTCACTCAGTTTTTGCCTTATGTGGGATGTGATTCTGCTGTCCAAGAAATAAAATAGTGGTCACCTGGCCTGTGTGATTAAATGCCAACTGTGTGATAGAGTCATGAAGAACCACTGACTTTGAGAGGCTTTAAATATGAGTAAAGTGTGCTGGCCATGGTGTCTCATACCTGTTATCCCAGTACTTTGGAGGCCAGGAGTTTGAGTTGCTGTGAGCTAGGCTGACGCCACGGCACTCTAGCCTGGACAACAGAGTGAGACTCTGTCTCAAAAAAAAGAATGAATGAATGAATAGAAAGTGAACACACAGTAGAAATTGAACTTTGTATCAGTGTTGAGTGATAGCTTTTCCTTCTCATTTTTCCATTTCAGGAAGGCTTTGTGATACCTGATGAAGGGGGCCCACAGGAGGAACAAGAAGAGTATTAACAGCCTGGACTAGCAGAGCAACATCCGAATTCTTCACTCCAAATCATGTGCTTAACTGTAAAATACTCCCTTTTATTATTCTTAGAGGACTCACTGGTTTCTTTTCATAAGCAAAAAGTACCTCTTCTTAAAGTGCACTTTGCAGAAGTTTCACTCCTCTTCCAGTAAGTTTGAGTTAGGAGCTTTTACCTTGTTAGGAGAGCAGTATTAACATCTAGTTGGTTCACTTGGGGAACAGAGAGGCTGCCGGGGGGCTCACCATGTGGATGCGGGTCACACTGATCGCTGGAGACGGTGTTATGTAATACACTGAGGTGGCGACCTCAGTAGAGAAACATAAAGACTGAATTGAATTTTAAGCTAATGTGAAATCTTGGCAGACAACATTGTAATAAATAAATGCCTTAAGAGTATTTAAAATATGCTTCCATATTTCAAGGTATAAAATATGACAGAAGATTTTATGTGTTTGACATCATGTCTGGGAAGGAAGGGCCAGACCTCAGAACCTTTGGAAACTGCTGTCATGGGTCTTACAGGGCTGCTTGAATCCTCAACGGGCCTAGGCTTTGGCCCAAAAGGAATGGTTAAAAAGTTGCTCTGTAAAGTCATTTGATGTCATTGACCAATTGCATCCCTGCTAAAAAAGCAAGAGGCATTGTTGCCTGGATGAATAAAGGGTGTTTCAGCCCTGAGATTTTAGGAGTTAAAGAACTCGATTTTCATTGAGCATTTCTCTGACGACTTTTCCAATTATCCCTGAGATTTCTATGTATTATGCTTTTTGGGTATTGAGGGTGTGTCCAGTTTTTTAATCTAACAACTACTTTTGGGGACTTGCCCACATCTCTGGGATTTGAATGGGGGTTGTGTCCCATTTTACTGTCTTTTAGGTTTACATTTAACATGTTTCTCTTCTCTGTTCCCCTTGCCCACTGGGGATTCCTCTTTGGCTCCTTAAAGTTTGCTGCTTAGAGTTGAAAGTACAGCAGGCAGGTGATCATGCTGCAAGGTTTTTCTGGACCTCTGGCAAAGGGAGTGATCAGTGAAGGCCATCGTTACCTTGGGATCTGCAAGGCTGTGGTGTTTTTGGTATCTGCTGCCCACAGCTCTCCACTGTTACTTTGCCAGTGCACTAATCTCTTTGGAGATAAAATTCATTAGTGTGTTACTAAATGTTAATTTTCTTTTGCAGAAAATACAGTACCATGTCTGAATTAATTATTAATATTTAAAATATTTCCTTCCTTAACTCTCCCTCATTTTCTTTGCCCATAGCCTATTCAATCCCTTTGTTTGGCAGAATTCTGCAAAATGTGTGTCACCCACTACTGAGATTGTTCAGCCCCTGATGTATTTGTATTGATTTGTTTCTGGTGGTAGCTTGTCCTAAAATGTGTGTAGAAAGCAAGTATTTTATGATAAAATTGTGTAGTGCATGCTCTGTGTGGAATTCAGAGGAAAACCCAGATTCATTGATTAACAATGCCAAAAAATGCAAGTAACTAGCCATTGTTCAAATGACAGTGGTGCTATTTCTCTTTTGTGGCCTTTTAGACTTTCGTTGCCCTAAAATTCCATTTTATTGGGAACCCATTTTCCACCTGGTCTTTCTTGACAGGGTTTTTTTCTACTTTAAACAATTTCTAAATAAAATTCTGCATTTCAAGAGTGTCATGTCTTCTGAAATTTGTCTTGCCCTGGATATATGCTTTTAGATTCAAGTGCTAAGGTTACCAGTGCTTCTTTCTTAAATTAGGACTGATCTTTTGAAATTCTTCACTGTTTTTTCAGATGTGCTTATTTCTAGGCCTGCTTCCTTTTTTCTTCTTTCACATATTTCTCAGCCTCCTGCTGTTTTAAATTCTCATATTGCAATGAGAGGTTTTTTTCCTCTCATAAGGCCTAGCTGCTGTGAAGCCTTTTCAGGCCATTTCTTCCTGAGAAATGTAGCAGAACAGTGCTTGGCAGATAACCACGGGAGATATTTTGTTTTTCCTGACAATGTATTTCAAAGGCAGTTAACATAATCTCAGCCTATAAAATAATTTAAAATTGTTACCACTTTTTTCTTCCTTGTAAAATTCTATGCCTTTAGAAATGAGTTCAAAAGAAGACTTGTTGCCATTTTCATCATGATATAAAGTTAAATGGCATAGTCATTTTTTGTATGATCTTTAGAGTATGTACCATAATTTTGGATGCTCTTATAAACCCAACTTGAGGGTTTTTACTGGGATTTTACCCACATTACTTCCTCTAGAAGTTAATGGTATGAGACCTCCTTTCAAATGTTATATACCTTCGGAAGGAATTTGACACCATATGTATTGATCATCTACAAGAAGATACCTCATCCAGGAGTGCATGAAGCTTGTGAAGAAGATATGTTGGGTGTTGTCAACTGACAAGTTACTTTGGTAAGGCATGAAGCTGATACTGTGTATCTTTGACCAATTCCATTGACCTGGCTCTAGGCGGAGGGACATCAAGTCTTTGCTGCTTGATCTGCCTGGCAAGTTCTGTGTTGTACAGAGAACAGGTAAACAGATGGGTTCTCCGGCTAGATTTGGATGTAGGATTCATTCCTCATGCTGGTGATCCTCAAACGGATAGTCTTCAGATATCACCTGGGGAGCTTGTTTGACATAACATTTGTAAAGTCCACTCCCAGAAATGCTGAGTCAGGAGGTTGAAAATCTGCATTTTAACATGGACCTTAGGCGACCTAAATTTGGATCTTACCTATGGGCCTGCAACTTCAAGTTTTCATTCTTGCAGGGGGAACATCAGATTTTAGTTCTTCTGTAGGACTCTCCTAGCTCTGTGAGTTTGGAGCTAATTGACCTGTCTTGTTCCTACCTGCAAAACAGGTGATGTTGGCTGAAACACCCTCTCTCACTGGGTGCTTGTTGGAATCCAAATGAGCTGATGGACAGAAAAAAAAAGCAACTACACATTAGAAAGTTCTGAACAGACAAAAGACATTGTTTATGGTATTGATTCTTCAGATCCAGTCTGAAAGTCGCTTTATAGATTAAAAAAGCTTAGGGATAGGATTTTTGTATCCTGAGAATTCAGGAGGACATTCCTTAAGATAGACTTTGGATATTTTGTAAATTAAGTAACAAGTTCTTTTAATGTTTTTTTTTCCAGCTTGGTGGTATTGACAAGTCTGTCTCCTTTCTGTCTTGAGACTATGATTTTCATCTTGTTTTTTCCCTAGGTGGAATTGAGGTCTAATTGCATATTTCACCATTTTCTTTTAAATGAAGATTTAGTGACTGTGATTCATTGATAAAAAAAAAAAATCATACTTTTCTCCAAGGTTTACTCTCTAGAATGTAACAAGGTTTTGAAAAGGAAGCAGTTTCCTTTTACTATAAACAATGTGATTCTTTAGAGAAATTTTTATTTAAGGATTGCTTTATAAGATTTATTATAAACCGCTCCTTTTGTGGTTACCATAGTTCATTGTGTTTTCCACAAAGAAAACCTAGGCTTTAAGCCTGATTAGCCTAATTAGATTAGTTTGCTAGCATGTGGATGACCCAAATCTGACTGTTGTCAACAGAGAATGGAAGTGATTGCTTTGAACCAAACTGAACCTTAGTCTGCGATCAGTGTCATGAATCAGCAATCATTCTTCTGGTCTGGCACTGTTGCTGTTAGCAATATGTCATACTTTTGAATTCTCACATTCAATTTTTAAAATTTTAAAACCAGATGAATTCATATTTATTTCTGTATCTTCATGATACTGTTTTTTTTTCCAGTTTTCACATGTACGGATGTAGCAATGGGCAGAGTTCTTCTCTGTACTTCTGTATTGAACTTGACTGTAGTTAGAACCATTAACCTAGATTACGTCAGTCAGATGGTTACAGAGCTATAACTTGTGAAGGTTATCAAAGGTCTGTTTCCCCTTTGGCTTACTCTGAATTGGAAAGTAACGTTATCTTAGTCCTTAGAGTATAGAAGCTTTCTGTTGAGGTTATAGTCTAGTAGCTCCATTAATTTGGTTATCTATGTGAGCAGGTCTAGCCTAGGGTCAAATTTCTAGGCTACTCAATTGAGAACCTTAAACCTTGATATATATAAAATATATTTTTTTAAAGTAAAAATTAAATAACCCTCATTTCCTTGTATTGGAGGCTCTCAGATTCTGAAACATGAAATGGAAATGGCCTTCATAGACATGTTTTTGAGTGTGAGGAGAGGCAGTTCTTTGTCTTGAGATCATTTGAAAACAAACCAGGTTACCCACCAAAGCCCAGAACTTTGTAAGTGGCATCAAGAGATAGATTTAAAATTGTTAGATGGTCTTTCAGCAGCTCGGAATTCTATAAGATATCTTGCTTTACCTACTTTTTAAAAATTTCTCCCTTAACTTTTTTCTGGATACTTGGAATATTTTTTTGCAGTCTGATGGGATTGTTGGTGAGGCTGAGTGGCTGGGTGCAGGTATTGTAGCAGAGGAGGAAAAGTAATTTATTCTGTCTACTGATGTCTTTAACTTTTAGTTTTGACAGTAGAATGAGATGTGGGAAGCTTTGATAGGTGAAATTCAGTCTCTCAGGGTAAGTCTTAAAGTTGGCTTTTTGGCTCTTACTATTACTAATAGTTTCTGATGGGGACAGAGATGAGTTTTTAAGATTTAGCCTTAATGGTGATTCACAAATGCAATGTAGACTATTGAAGTTAAGTCCAAGGTCAAGCACATGAGTGGGCAGACTGACTATATGAAGTGGTTATGTGACTAGAGCCTGTCTGGCCTTTACCAAAATAAACAAAGGAGACAGTGCTGGAGTCGGAAGGCCATGGACTAGGAGTTGAGACCAGAGTCCTCCAGACCCTGCATCCCAGCTCTGCAGTGGATAGCTTTTCATAGGCTCAGTGAGGAGTTAAGGCCTTCTGGTTCAGAAAAAGTTACTTAGGTCTGTAAAAGGCAGTAGGGTACTGGAACAAGAAAGAGTGGGAGAGTGCACAGTTCCCAGCAAATGTTGCCTGTGGAGGCTGTTTCATCAGTTGAAGGACAGTTTTGATAGAAAGAAAAGCACAATGTTTCTCAGCATCAGCTGCGTATATCTTGCTTGTGTATTTTTGAAAAAACTCTTAACAATGAAATTGTTGTGAACTGTAAACTTTGTATTTTAATACCTACTTTTAGTTTTGGCTCTAAAAAAGGAGGCTTTGACAAGAGGAATAACAAAAGAACACAAAGCGATTTAGCATGTGGTTGGCACTTTCCCACAGGCTGTGGGGAGAGCCCTGCTAATACCTCTTTCCCCGAGTCATCAAATGTATGTTACCCAGGACCTGTCATGGTTTGTCCTTATCTAAGCTTGAGTGACCTTCGGATTCCTTTCCTTGCTTGTTTCTCCATTGTGTTATCATTTCATATTTATATTTCTCATAATGGGACCTGTTTATATATTGTGAGGTAGTTCTAGTGATTTTAAGATCTAGCATAACTTCAAGGTCATCTTGATTTTAGGCTTCTATTTAAATTTTCTAATCTGATACAATCTTTTTGGGGTATTTTATATGTCGCTCTACAAAATAATGTGAGAGAATTACATGTACAATTATATATGACTGTTGTTTTTACTTTGAAATATTAAATCTTGCTCAGGAGAATGGAATAAGCTATTGTGTTTTTTACAGGCAGCTATAGGTTACCCCAGTTTGCCCCTCCCTTTCCATTAATTTTGAAGCCTGAGAGAAGTAATAATGTTAAGATTTAGTGTAGAATGGAATAAACATTTTTAAAAAATTCCTAAGAATTTTTAAGTCTCTGACTTAATATTTTACTGACCTAATCCTACTGCCAGCTGAAGGTATGATCTTGATAATGATCTTCAGGGTCCTTGTAAGTTCTAGCAGTCAGAGATTTCTCTCTGTTATTCTTGTTTGAAAAGGAAAAAGCCTCTTTTTGCCTATCAAATTGCATCTTAAAATTTTTGGCAAATTACATAAAGCCGAAGAAGGATACAAATTTTGACATCTTAAAATCCACAGTGTTAAGGCTTGAAAGGTCAATATTGGCATTACTGCTCAGTGGAAGCACGAAGAAGTGCCTTTTCGAGAGCAGTTAGTTGTGTCTGTGTTAATTGTGCCCTTCACCCACCTGAGTTGCTCCCTTCTGGGAGCATCCCTTCTTACTAAGGATCAGAATTTCCTTAGGATTAGCAAGTGATGCCTGAATTAGTCTCAAGTGGGAATTGGTGCTTTTTTTCTAGAATTATTTTTGTGCAGAGGTTTGTCCAGGAGATTTTTCTTCTAAATGTCTTCCTTCTGACTTGGTATTTTTGGAACTTTTTAAAAACCCGAGTTATTGGTGATCATATTTTCATTCTTTTTAGGTGGGAGTTTTCTGAACTTTTCCTTAACTAAAAGGTGAATTGCATCTTAATATCCTCTCCCCTTTTTTGCCTCATATTTCTTCCCATGTAGGGGAAAATATATATATTGTGACAGAACTTAGCATGTTTTAGGCCATATAAAAATAGTGATAAAGTTATTAATCGGTGAAGATAGGTTTTAGTGAAAAAATATATACCATTTGATTAATAGATGTGTCATTGGAAACATGCAAGAACTGCTGTAAGAGTTGATGACAGTGTATTGGAAAATGTACTGAGCCAAAAACAATGGGAAACAGTCATATTTAGGGGCATCAGCCTTTTTTAAAAAAAAATCCTTCTAGTTTATTGATACGTAGTCTAATAAAACCCTGATTTAGAGGATTTCTGTCATTTCTGAAAAAATAGCATTGCAAAAAATAAAGACTTCTGCACCTTTTTTGATTTTTCATTCAACTACCCTACTTTTTATGTTCTCCAAAATCCTTTGTCTCCTTTATTGATGAAATGGAAGCAGACTTTTTTTTATATGTTGGGGTTTTCTCAGTGGTGTAGGCCCCGGGGAAAACGTTTTGTTTTGTGGTCACTTAACATTTTGGTAACATATAGTTCCTCATGAAATGTGATTTAGCTGGGTATCTTTTAAAATCTGGAATCCATGTCCTTGGTCGAAATCTCTCCTGAGAGGCTTACCTTTCACCACCTTGTCCTGCTGTATTGTGCCGCAAGATTGCTCAGTGGTTCCATCAAAAGTCCATGCCTCCCCTGAAGTCTGGATTTATAAATCCCCCTCTCACACATTATGTTCTTATCACCTTCCTCTTTTCAAAGAATTGGAGCTCATGCAGAGGGTGGGGGAAGCCACTGTGCTGTTCACTGTCTTTACTGTGGAAGCCAGTGGCCATTTGGTTTGGGTGCACCCTGCTTGCTCAGAGGGCTTCCTGGCCATGTCCACAGTTTCCATGAGAGGCAGGCTCTTTGTGCCTCTACTTGTTTTATGGATTGTTTTGTATTTGTATTTGTCCTGGCTATTTGTGCTGTAGCTCCTGTCACTGTCTGCTGTAAGTTTAACTTCATCAATAAAAAGAATGTCTCGGATGAAAAGAGGTGTGTTGTTATGGTTTGTGGGATGGATTCTGATGCTCCATTTATGTTCTTCATGTGGAACTCTGTCTCATTTCCCTAGTTCTAAATGTGACCAGCTGACTCTGCGGACAGGTGGAGGTCCTCAGAGTTCCACAGTGACTTCATAGAGGAGCTGTCTTGGAGGTGAACAGCTGCCCAAGATATCTGAGTTGCAGTGGGAATTGGAAACCGATAAGTTTGTTAGACTTAGCCCACAAGATTAACTGGGGAGATCCAGTTGAGTCAGGGTAAGTGAAGGTTTGGGTTAAAGTTACCCTCCAAAAGGCTGGACACTTCTGCTTTGAGATTCTCTTGCCTGAGATCAAAGGCGGAATGGACCATGAGGACATCTCTTACCCATTTCTAGGATAGCTTTAAATGAATGTAGCCTTAGGTTATCTGTACAAATTCTTGCAGACCAATTATGTAACAAACCAATTATTTGCCTTCCATCCTTAGCTCGGTCCCCTAGTGGCTGTTGGAAGTGTTCATCCCTGTTTGTTTGTTTTTTTGAACATGGATTTATGGGGTCCATGTGCAGATTTGTTACATGGATCAATTGCGTGGTGGTGATGTCTGGGCTTTTTGGTGGAATCATTACCCTTTTGGTACCTTCTCCCCACCCTCTCTTCAGTCTGTTCCAGACAGGTCAACTTTAGGGAGTATGTGGAGGCCAGTGGGTGTGACTTCTGATCTTATCTGTTTTCTTTTTCCTAAATATCAGTTGAATTTGATTACTAAATCTCAGCCTCCTATTCATTCCTCCAGGGTTGGGGGAATGGTGCTTCTCTCAGCTTCTCTCTTGCCTTTTTCTTTTGGGTGGTCTCCGTTGCCAGCAACCAATATTTTTTTTCCAACTTTGTGCTTTGCTCCAGTTCATGAACATAACAGAATTGCTCTCTCTCCTGGTTAAAGACATTTCTTTGACAAAACTTTGGGGTTTTTCTCTTTTTTGTTCATTTTTTGAGACAGGATCTTGCTCTGTTGCCCAGGCTAGAGTGCAGTGGTGCTACCATAGCTCACTGCAGCCTCCATCTCCTGGGCTCCGGTGATAACTCCCACCTCAGCCTCCCCAAGTAGCTGGGACTACAGGCATGCACAAACAGGCCTGGCTAGTTTTTCTTTTTTGTAGTGACATGGTCTCACTATGTTGCCCAGGCTGGTCTCGAACTCCTGGTTTCAACTGATTCTCACATCTCAGCTTCTGTAACTGCTGGGATTACAGGCATGAGCCACCATGCCTGGCCTACTTTTGAAATAATTAAAAATATGTAAAATGGTTGTGAGACTAGTAAAAAGAGCTCTCCTTTGCCCAGATTGAATAACTGTGAACATTTTGCTACATTTACATATTATACATGTATTTATTGAGAAGGAACTATAGACATCATGCCCCTTTATCCCTACTTTGGTGTACATTTCCTCAGAACAAAGATATTCTCTTTTTTAACCATAATATAATTATCAATTAGATATTAATATAATATCTAATAATATAGAGTCCATATTCAAATTTCACTTAATTTCACCCAACAATGTCCCTTCATAGCATTTTATTTCCACTCTGAAATCCAATTCAAAATCATACCTTGCCTTTAGTTGTTGGGTCTCTCGAGACACCTTTAATCTGTGACAGTTCCTTAGCCTGCCTTTTATGTAGCATTGATGTTTTAATTTTTTTTTTTTTAAAGAGACAGAAGGGCTGAATGTGATGGCTGACGCCTGTAATCCTAGCACTCTGAGAGGCCAAGGTGGGCAGATGGTTTGAGCTCAGGAGTTTGAGACCAGCCGGAGCAAGAGCGAGACCCCGTCTCTACCAAAAATAGAAAAAATTAGCCAGGAATGGTGGTGCATGCCTGTAGTCCCAGCTACTCGGGAGGCTGAGGCAGAAGGATCGCTTAAGCCCAGGAGTTTGAGGTTGCTGTGAGCACTCTACTAAGGGAAAGAGAGTGAGACTCTGTCTCAAAAAAAAAAAAAAAAAGTACAAAAGAGAGGGCCTCACTTTGTCACCCAGACTGGAATACAGGATCATAGCTCATCCTAACCTCGAACTCCTGGGCTCCAGTGCTCCTCCTGCCTCAGCCTCAGTCTCCTGAGTAGCTGGGACTACAGGCATGCAATGCCACACTCAGCCAGTTTTTAACATTTTTTTGTAGAGACAGGGTCTCCCTGTGTTGCCCAGGCTGGTCTAGAACTCCTGGATTCAGATGATCCTCCTGCCTTGGCCTCCCAAGCATTGGGATTGTAGGTGTGAGCCACTGTGCCCAGCTGACATTGACATTTTTAAAGAATAAAACCCAGTTATTGAGGCCGAGGCGGGCGGATTGCTCGAGGTCAGGAGTTCAAAACCAGCCTGAGCAAGAGCAAGACCCCGTCTCTACTATAAATAGAAAGAAATTAATTGGCCAACTAATATATATACAAAAAATTAGCCGGGCATGGTGGCTCATGCCTGTAGTCCCAGCTACTCGGGAGGCTGAGGCAGGAGGATCGCTTGAGCCCAGGAGTTTGAGGTTGCTGTGAGCTAGGCTGACACCACGGCACTCACTCTAGCCTGGGCAACAAAGCGAGACTCTGTCTCAAAAAAAAAAAAAAAAAAAAAAAAAAAAAAAACCCAGTTATTTTGTAGAATGTCCTGCAATTTGAATTTGTCTGTTTCCTCATGATTAGATTCAGGTTATACATTTTGGGGCAGTAATACCCCCAAAGTGATGAGTCCTGAGTATCACATCAGGAGGTACATGATGTCATTTTGTTCCATCATTGGTGATGTTAGCCTTTATTGCTTGTTAGCTAAGACTTCAAAGCAAAACAAAACTTACACATTTTCTTTATACACACTCATGCTTAACCTGCTTTATATAAATGTAATGATATATATGCCTTTGTGCAGACTTTTTTGTATTCCTTTTTCTCTTGGCCCACTTCTTTTGGGCCACATTAGCCCCTAACCCTAATCAGCACCATATGTAACCTTGCATATTTTGCACTCATAAATTTGTACATATTGTACAGTATCAGTATCCCTTAGATCCGGGCAAGAAGGGCCCCTGCCCTGAGCTTCAGGGGGGTCCCTCCTCTAGCTACACCTCACTCTACTAGGTGAGGAGTCCCAGAAGCTAAGGGGACGTGGCCACCCAGAGGTCTCTGCCTTTCCCCCATGCTATGAGTACTGGAATTTCTTGCCCATATTGCTTGAACCTGATTCCGGGGTTTTTGTGGGCTTGTTCCCCAGTCCCATCATTTTTGAGGGCAGCCCTTGCTAGGCTTGAGGTGGCCCTGCAGCAATGGAGGTGCAACTGGCTGTGTGGTCAGGGTGTCTGTATACCTGCCACCATGCCATAGGCCCCTAAAATGCATGGGGTGGGGTAGGCGGTGGGCAGAGGGCTTGGAGGCTGGCTCTCCCCACAGTTCCAAATTGTGGTACTGAGCTGAGTTCAAGAATATGAAATTTGAGCCTGGCCTCCCAGGTTGTTTTAAAGGTGTATTTGTCAAGGTAGGAGAATAAAATATATATATTAGAATATATTTAACAGTATGATTTATAAACAGTTGATTTACAAACACTTTAAATGACTTGCTATGTGGGCCTGTATTTGGACTCTTACCATAGGCCCCATAATTACTAGGGGTGGTTCTGTTTGTGTGTGTGTATGTACACGTACGTATTTATATGTATAAGAAACAGTACCTATTTGTCATTCTTTCATAAAAATTGACATTTCATGGTGCACCCTTCTCTGCATCTTGCTTTTCTTACTTGTTAGTACCTCATGGAAATCCTTCCTAGTGAGCTGCTGGAAGTCAGATTCATCCATCTACATGTTTGATGTTCTGAGTGCAGGTGTACTGGTCTACTCAGCCATTTCTCTGATAGTCATTCACTTCTTTTGTTTTTGCTGCTACAAACAATGCTATAGCAACCACTCTTGTACAGTGGTGTTTCACAGATGAGTAAATCATTACCCACCACCCTACCCACTCCACTGAAAAAAATCTTAAAAGATTGCTATCAATTGCTTTGAATTAAAATAAAAATTAGAGGCCAGGTGCGGTGGCTCACACCTGTAATCCTAGCACTCTGGGAGGCTGAGGCGGGTGGATTGCTCAAGGTTAGGAGTTCGAAACCAGCCTGAGCAAGAGCGAGACCCTGTCTCTACTATAAATAAAAAGAAATTAATTGGACAACTAAAAACATATATATATAAATTTAGCTGGGCATGGTGGCACTTGCCTGTAGTCCCAGCTACTTGGGAGGCTGAGGCAGTAGGATCACTTGACCCTAGGAGTTTGAGGTTGCTGTGAGTTAGGCTGACGCCATGGCGCTCTAGCCCAGGCAACAAAGTGAGACTCTGTCTCAAAATAAATAAATAAAAAATAAAATAAAAATTAGAGAAATGCATGATTTAGACTATAAAAATCCTCCATAATCTCACCTGCCAGAGATAGCTGCCATTAACTTTGGAGTATATTTTCCCAGGCTCTTTTTCATGCATGTGCCCATGTGTACACATGTATATCTTAACAGAAATGGATTTACATGTTAAATACACTTGTGCAGCTTTCTTCACTGGTAACCCCCTAACTGCCGTTTTTAGTGGTCCTTTCTTTCTCTTCTTATTTTGGCTCACTGAAGCATCCCATCCTCCTTAGCTGTCTTTTGTGTGTTTCTCTTTTTATCCCCTAAATGTAGCCACTGCTTAAGTTTCAGTCCCCATATTTCCAGGTATTTGTTTTTTATTTCCGGCAGGAGAGCCCAGTATCACATACATTAATTAAACCACTTTCCCTCTTTGCTCCTTTTTCTGGAAATGTGGTCCTGGTATTTCTCTCAGTCACCCTTGTTCTTGGCTTCCAAATCTCTTTCCTTGGCTCTTCTCTCTGCTTTGATGTTTCTGTCTGAGCTGTTGCTGAGACACTAGGTTAGGGCACTCTTGGCCAGTCTACAGCCCTCCTCCTCTTCCTTTTTCTTTCCATCTTGCACTGATGAATTTTCACACGTGCCGTTCATCTTGGTCAGACTCCCTGGCCAGATAGTTAAGATTCTACATTCTTCCTCCAAGTTTTCTTTTTCCTCTTTCCTCCCACCATTCCTCCTTACCCTCTGTCTCCTGGGAACCCTTAGGTCAAGCCAAGCTGGCTCATTTGGTCTGTCCCCTGGGTATTTCTTGGGCTTGGCTCTCCTCTTGCCATCCTAGAGTGCCGCCTGACTTTGCATGGTAGAACTTGCTGATGAGGTGGGCTCTGATAATCCATCTGATGTGGAGGTTCTGCGGACCCAGTAGAAATGTGCTGTTTATAGTCACAGGGCAGAGCTCTGTGGAATGGATCTCGCCCCCACACTCCTGCCCGATCCTCATACTGCCATGAAGTCCTGACCCCAAGGGCACCGGAAGGCAGGTGGGGAGGGGTATGCAGGGGAAGTTCAGGGCCCCATCCTGCCCCTGCTCTGTGCATGGCTTTGACCCTTTGGATGTACGTCTGCCTCTGGACCTCGTTTTTGTCATCTGTAAATTGCACATGGACCACTGCATGGCTTCCTAGGCTCCTTCTAATTCTGTAGAAAGTGGGACCCCCTCTAGAAAGCTTCTGGCAATAAGTCAGGAGTAAAGAAATGTACAAAACCCCGCGGCTTCAGTAGGACAATTCCTTTCCATCAGGGGAAGGAAGGCTCAGGTGCAAGCTTGGAAAAAGCTCCCTGTTGGAGAAGCCTCTCCGGGGAGAGGGATGCTCATCAGATGCTTGCTGGGAGGGGCCGTGGGCCAGGACAGCCACCCTCTCCCTTGACCCTGACTTCTTTTTCACTGTTCTATGACCTGGCTAGGTCAGCTTCCCACACGGTACTTGCAAAGACTGGCGTTAAAGCAACTATGGTTTCCTATTCTGGGTCAAGTTCAATGACTTATGAAGACTTAGTGGAGAGCACTCGACTTGTAAAGGTAAGAAAGCCATCAGTTAATAAAGGGAGGGGCTATCCTAGAGCCATGCAAGACATCACTCATCAGCATGGAAGTGCAGTGGTCTTGGCCAGACATGGTAGCTCACACCTGTAATCTCAGCACTTTGGGAGACTGAGGCGGGAGGATCACTTGAAGCAAGGAGTTCAAGACCAGTCTGAGCAGCATAAAGAGACTCTGTCTCTACAAAAAATACAAAAATTAGCCGAGTGCGGTCATTTGGGCCTGTAGTCCCAGCTACTCAGGAGGCTGAGGCAGGAGGATCGCTCGAGGCCAGGAGTTTGAGGCTGCAGTGAGCTATGGTAGCACCACTGCACTCCAACTTGGGCAACAGAGTGAGACCCTGTCTCAAAAAAAAGTGCAGTGGTCTCTGCAATGGGGGTTGCAAACTCAGATACCTGCCGGGCCAGGTAGGTATCTTAAGTGTATGCTGCAGAAGGCTGCATGGGCCAGATGCATCACCTGAGGCTACCAATTTGCAGTCTATACATGGACTATGCTTAGTTTTGTCCAGCAAAGTTGTGTTAGTGGTGGGATGGGTTGCATGTATTATCAAGCCAGTATTGGCAGGATGTGGTGGCTCAGCCTGTAATCCTAGCACTCTGGGAGGCCAAGGCAGGTGGATGGCTCAAGGTCAGGAGTTGGAAACCAGCCTGAGCAAGAGCTAGACCCCGTCAATACTAAAAATAGAAATTAATTGGCCAACTAAAAATATATAGAAAATATTAGCCGGGCATGGTGGCGCATGCCTGTAGTCCCAACTACTCGGGAGGCTGAGGCAGAAAGATCACTTGAGCCCAGGAATTTGAGGTTGCTGTGAGTTAGACTGACACCACGGCACTCTAGCCCAGGCAACAGAGTGAAATTCTGTCTCAAAAAAAAAAAAAAAAGCCAATATTGAGTGTTTCTTATATGCTCGGGGCTGGACAACAGAGAGATAATTAATACAAACAAGATTAAGTTAAGATGAATATGCCATTGCCTTCAAAGAGCTCACTGCAAGATGTGGGGTAATAACAAGAGCTGTCATTTACTGTGTAACTAGTTTGCTGGGGCTTCACGGTGTATTCAGGTGTCACTTAGGCCTCAACTGCAAGCCTGCACAGTGGGTACTGTGGATCTCTATGCAGAAGGTACCGTGAAGAATCCTGTGACCAGAAATGATGTGATACACCCACAATAAAATAGCTTGTAAGCGAGGGAGCCAGGCGGAATTCCAACCCAGAGCTCTGGGACTCTGCAGCCACGGGCTTCCCCTCACGCCTTGCTCTTTCTTTACATGTAAGGGCAGATGTGCACAAGGACCATGCCATGAGAGGAAGATAGGAACAAAGCCTGGGGACATGGAGGTGGCAGTGATGCCTCCCATGTGAAAGTTATGGAAAAGCTTAACTTCCCTTGGGGAGGTGGCATGTGAGGCAGACGCTGAAGAGTGGGTGGGAGTTCCCTGCTGGGGGAGATAGGCTGTGTTGTGCACAGGGGACAGGGTGAGCAAATGTGGAATGCTTGCTGGGTTTGGGGGCAGTGGGGAGCAGTTGGTGTTCTTGGAACATGGTATAGCCATCGACACTAGAAAGGTGGATGAGAGCTGGTTATGAGGGCTCGGAACATCACACTCAGGATTTGGGGGTCGAGAGCACAGTGTGGAGAGTGTCAGAGCCAGGATAAGGTCATTGATCAGGTTTGCCTCCTGGAAAGACGGCTGGGAGGTGGAGTGTTGGGAGGTGGATTGGAAGGGAAGATTGTGCTTGTCCCAGAAAAAGACCAGAGTTCAGGATGGGCAGGGATGTGGGAGAGGAAAGTCTCTAGGTGGGAGGTGGATCCCAGTAAAAATCAGCTGGGAGGACAGTAAGTGTCCATAGGAGGAGGAGGGAAGACAAGGTGGTACAGCACTTTCTAATTTGGGGCCTCACTTCTCTGTTGGTTTCCATGGAGGCAGAGACCCTCACTGTGGTCACTGTTGTATTCACCGTGCCTGGCACTCAACAAATGTGTATAGACCACAAGTGATTGAATGAAAGTTCATGGGAAGATGAGCACTGAGCACATTGGCTCTTTAGGTGGGGCTGGGGTGGGGAGAGTGGGCAATTCAACCCCTTGCCTTTTGGCTTTTGAACTAAAGTCGTCGTCTTTTTTTTTTTTTGAGACAGAGTCTTGCTTTGTTGCCCAGGCTGGAGTGAGTGCCGTGGCGTCAGTCTAGCTCACAGCAACCTCAAACTCCTGGGCTCAAGCAATCCTCCTGCCTCAGCTTCCCGAGTAGCTGGGACTACAGGCATGCACCACCATGCCTGGCTAATTTTTTCTATATATATTAGTTGGCCAATTAATTTCTTTCTATTTATAGTAGAGACGGGGGCCTCACTCTTGCTCAGGCTGGTTTCGAACTCCTGACCTTGAGCAATCCTCCCGCCTCGGCCTCCCAGAGAGCTAGGATTACAGGTGTGAGCCACCGCACCTGGCCACTAAAGTCTTCTTGATTGTTTGAAGCCCAAAGCAATGCGTCTCGAGAGCAGCACTGCCTGGTTGCCGCTCAGTGGTCATCAGCTGTGCACACTTGGAGTCATCAGGGGGAAGCAGCCTTCAAGGACCTGAGCACAGTGCTAATGTCCAAATGAGTCAGACGCACGTGCTGAGGGGGAGAAGCATTGTTGAGTACTGGAGGGGTAGGGAAAGCTTTTGGGGGAGTCTGGGAAAGATGAATTGGAGGAGGTGAGGGAGGCCCTGGTGGGGGGTCAGCATGGGCATTGGTGTGTGTTGGGACGGAGGCCAGGCATGGGGCACACAGGCTGATCTGTCCCAGGTGGGACATCTGGGCTGGTTGGGGCCACATCGAATTGTCTAGGTAAGATGGGGAAGATGGAGCTGTTTTCCTTGGGGTCTTGAATTTCGACCACTGACAATTTGAAATGATACAGTTGCAGAACTGAAGCACCTAATAAATTAAAGTTGCTTTATGTGTAAGGCAAGACCTTGGCTGTGTCTAACCTCGTTTAGCCTCAGTCATGGCATCTGTAAAAGGGGAACAATAGTTAACTCCCCAGAGTTGGGAGAAGCAGCCTAGATCTTTGTTGATTTTCCTTGGTCTAACAGTGGTGAGGACTTAATAGCTTCCATCAGTTAATAACATCATAATGCTCCTCACCCTGTTCTTCCTCAAAAAGTCTCTCTTTAAATAAGATGTGCTAAAAAAGGCTCAGGAAATTAACCCTCTCAGTCCCTGGTTCTTGTCACATTCGTTCTAGACACTCACCCCAAGTGTATTACAGAAGAAAAAGGAGGCTCTCGGCTTGCAGGCATCGTCCGTCACCTTTAGCCGGGTGTCTGACATCCATCATGGATCTCGGCTGTTTACTGAGCTGTACCTGTCTGAGATAGAGAAAATGTTTGAGGAGAACGATGACTCGACTGGAGGTAAAGCTTCCCTGTGGGTCCCATCTCTGTGACTTCTACACAGGGTGGGACCCAGTACCTGGGGTGTGTGGAGCCTTCAAACCTGACAAGCATTTTAGTATCTAGTATCTTCTTTAAAATTTAATCATTATGTAAGTATTATAAACATATTGGAGGCTATCTGGGGTCTAGAAAATTAAAAAAAAATACCGCTGGTCCAAACACCCAAACACAACCACTGTTAGTATTTTGATATGTTTTCTTCCAAACAGTTGCACATGTATGGTTTATTATCTATTGTTGTGTAATAATATTCCCACAACCTTAGTGGCTTAAAGCAACACACATTAATCATCTCACAGTTCCGGGGAGTTAGGAGCCTGTGCATGGTTTAGCTGGCTCCTCTGCGTAAGGTCTCACAAGGCTGTAATCAAGTTGTCAGCGGGGGCTGTCGTGTCACCTGGGGCTGCAGTGTCAGCCAGGGCTTGACTGGGGAAGGACCCATTTCCAAGCTCACTCAGGTTGTTGGCAGAATTCAGTTCCTTGCAGCTGTTGGACTGAGGGCTTCTGTGTCTTCCTGGCATTGGTGGGAGGCCACCCCCAGTTCCTAGAGGCTTCTCACACTGCCTGGCCATGTGGGATTCACCAATATGGCTGCTTGCAAGGCTCAAGCCAACAAAGGAGAGAGAGACTCCAGCACGACGGGTGTTGTGGTCTTACATAACACCATCATGTAATCATATGCACGTAGTCCCTACAGCCTGCCACCTGGGCCATATTCTATTGGTTACATGTCCTGCCATGCTCAAGGGAAAGGGATCACAGGAGGGCATGGACACCAGGAGGTGGATGTTATAAGGGCCTCCTTAAGTTTCTCCACCACAGATGGCCATGTGTGTTTTCAGATGTCTGTAATTGTACTATATGTGTAATTTCAGACCATTCTTTTTCACTTAATGCTAGTATATTAAGGACTTTTCCATATTGCTATGTAATTGTCCAGTCCTTTCTAATGGGGGCAGGTGTTCCCCTGGTGTACTAAGCTATTCCTCTATTTTTGGACATTTCAGTTTTATTGAGTTTAAATAATATATCATCTGTATATCACACTTTTTTTTCTCTTTAGAGCTTGATTTTTTTTCTTCCTTGGGATGGTACTCCCAAAAGTCAAACAACAGGAATACTTAAAGGCATCTTTCTTCATATCCACTAGACTATGAGTGCTGAGGCCCCATTTCCTGGCCCTGTTAATTGTGTTTGAGTTTACAGCCACACTGTCATGTGGGCAGGAAAGGCTGACAAATCCTCAGTTTATGAAGGTGCAACGTGAGTGATGAGGGACGATTTGTGTCTCACCTAAAAATGAGGTGCTTCCTAATTGGAGTTCTTCAGTGTTGGTGTTTGCACCCAGCACTGTCTAGGGGAACCCTGGCAGGACTAACTTTGGCTGGAGGTTTTTATTGTGTTTGTGTTGGTCTTGAATAGCAATATTTCACGCAGTTCAAAATTCAAAAGGTGCTTTTCCCGTGATACCTTTCTGGTATACAGAGAAAGTGTCTCCCTCCCCTGACCCATGTGCCCAGGTGTGTCCCTTCAGGAGGTTACTGCTCTCCAATTCCTGTGACCTTTAGAATCACAGAAGTGCATTTAGTCGCTTCCTGCATTTTTTATAAGCGGTGGGAGCCTACTGCCCATAGTGTTCTACTCCTTGCTTTTAGAAAAATTAATTTTAACAAGCTTTCCCCCTTTTTTACTTTAATATGTCTTCATATCCATGTAAAAAAGAACTTTCTCATTAAAACAATAAACAAAACAAAAACAACCGGCCATGGTTTTAAGTGGGAGAAAGGAAAATTCGCCTTTTGTTGATGTAGGGTGACAATCCGAAATTAGTGACTGGGGCAAAGATATCACTTACTCAGTGGAGGTTTATTAAGCCAAAGTTTGAGGACGTGCCCAGGAGAAACACAAACCACAGACAAATCTGTGACTTTTTTTTTCTGAAGGGGAATTTGGTAGCTTCAGTATTTGGAGGGACTAGGGTCTACAGAAAAAAACAAACAAACCAGAGGCTGGGCAGTGGAGCAAATGGTTACATTCTTGTTAGGCCCAGGAAGTCTACACTTTACATAAGTAAGGGGGGATCGTTAGAGGAGAAAAAGGGAGTGAAGAAAGCATCAGTTGTGTAGATGTCCCTGGGTAGGTGGAAGGGTGTTTGATCTTGTCTTACCTTGTCTCTGTTCTGCACCTGGGAAGATAAACTTATAATCGTTAACAGACTTTAGTTGTAGGAGCTAGACATAGCCTGCAGACCTAAAGTTAGAATTTGCATGTCCTTGCTTATGGGAGGCCAGCAAGGAATTTCCTTATGAATGATCTGTGGGGCCATGGCTGCACAGGTGCCTGGGGCCCTTACCTTCCCTTTTGTATAAGGAGTGTGTGGGGTGGTCCTGAGATTTTTATTTTCCTTTCTAAGGGTAAGGAATATGGGATTGTTTTTTCTTTTTCAAGTGTCTTTCAAGGAGGCAGATGATGAGCGTGGGCTCCATGCCACTCCTCGGGTACTCTGACCATCGGCCTTGCCTTGGAGGGCAGAGGGGCACACCCGGGCTCTCCCTCCTGTGCTGCAAGTTCCTCCGTGCAGGTTGAACCCAGGTCTTTGAGGGAGATCAGTGGTTCTTAGAGAGGAGCCTGTCAGTCTCCCAGGGAGGTTTTGAAAATGTACAAAGGCAGTGTGACTCCAGCTCTCCCAAGGGAAGCCTCCAGTGCTCATGGACTGCCACCTGACGTCCATCTTGTACATGGTATGACCATTAAGTGCCACCCAAAGCATGTAAGCCTCTTGGCCAGACCTCCACATAAGCAAGGTAGGTCCTTCTTTAAGCTAGACATGTTTTGTTCAGGCTTTCATTTGTTACTCAGCCCGTCAACAAATCTTAGTAATACTGCTGTAGCACTGTGCTGCGTGTTTCATGAGGAGCATAGAGTAGGGTTAAGAGCATGAGCTGGAGGCCAGATTGCTGGGGTAGCATCCAGTGCCACCACTTACTGGCCATGTGATCTCACCTCACTGTGTCATATTTCCCTCAGTAGTTTCCGTGTGCATAAAGTACAGAGGACAACACCTGGTGTGCGGTGTCGTCACCAGCACATCTTGGTGTCCCCAGAAACCCTCAGGGTGGCTAGTGTCTGCTGGGTGCTGGGGCTAGTGTCTGCTAGACACTGCTGGGGCTAGTGTCTCCTGGGGCTAGGGTCTGCTGGCTGTGGTCCCTCCCAGCCACAGAGGGAACAGGCTCATTCCTGCAATCCCAGGCTGCAGTGGGAGACAGAAAACAGAAAGATAGACAGTGAAACAGAGAGTGTTAGACAACATCAGGAAGGACAGTGGAGTCAGGCAGTGGAGGTCGATGGCCTCTTTAGGTAGTCCCAGGGAAAGATTTCTTGTGGAAGGGACCACTGGGACCACAGGCAAGGCCACCAGGACCTGCAGAGGCCCTGGGTGGGTGTGGGCCTGGCAGTGTGAGGAACGGCTACGGGGACAGAGAGCAATGGGGACAGCAGCGGGAGGTGAGGTCCGAGAGGAGCCAGGCAAGACACTGTGAGGATTCCAAATGTTTGTACAGGTTTTTAGAAGCACTTTTTAAAGACTGTGATGGTTAAAAAAGATTTTAGGTAGGGGTTATTGGCCTATTCTCAAACAAAACCCAGCATGGAGAGAGTAGTTTGTCCCCGCCTGCTCTTCCTCTCCTCATCGCTTCCTCCAGCTAGAGTTTGTTTTGATAATTACTTTTGATAATTACTTTTTTTTTTTTGAGAGACAGAATCTCACTCTGTTGCCCAGGCTAGAGTGCAGTGGCGTTGTCATAGCTCACTGCAGCCTCGAACTCCTGGGCTCAACCTCTTGCCTCAGTCTCCTAAGTAGCAGGGACTACAGGCATGCACCACCATGCCTGGATAATTTTTCTATTTTAGTAGAGATGGGATCTCATCATGTTGCTCCAGCTGGTCCGGCCTTGAACTCCAGGCCTCAAGCTATCCTCCTGTGTTGGCCTCCCAAAGTGCTAGTATTACAGGCTTGAGCCACTGTGCCTGGCCCACTTTTAACAGATGCACTTTACCTCTCTATGTTTGAATTTATTAATGTGTGTTTGTTGCCATTGTATACTATTTTGCATCTCCTTTTCCTGGGAGAGTTTTCTTTGTCTCAGTGCGTAGTCTGTCTAAAATGTTCAGAAATAGGAGTTGGTCTTTTTAGTAGCTGCCCCCTCCACTGCCATGAGACCAGCACGGTGCTCCCGTGGGTAGGTGCTCAGTCAGTAGTTGTGGGGTGATTGATTGTGGAACAGATAAGATGCAAAACATAACTAAGTGAGAACAGAAGCTTCAGGAATCAGGCCTAGGCTAGGGTGGATGAGGTGGGTGCTGAGACGTGAGGAAGTGGGACAGGGCCAAGAGAGAGGCAGTGTCCGAGGGGCTGGGGAGAGGGCAGCCTCCTAAGGCTCTCTGTCTCTGGCTGGAGCTATCTCCTGTCTTCTCCCGTGTGGTGGGCAGCTAGGGTTGCAGGTCAGGCAGCGAAGCACCTGGTGAACGTGGTCCTCGCATGTTCTCGCAGCACCCAGACCCCTGAGAACACTGTGGCCGGTGACAGGCTGAGTGTCTTGTGATTGAGGGGTGCTGTTCTCACTTCTCTCTCTGAAGCCCTGGACATGGACACTTTCATCAAGGCCATGAAGAAGGTTCTGAGTGGTGCATCGGAGGATACGCTGAAGGCGCTGTTTTTGAAGGTGGACTCGGACTGTAATGGCTTCGTCACCTGGGTGAGGAGGGTGCCCCGCGGCCTCAGGTAGCTTGAGGGAGGCTGGAAGGTACAGTCTCTGACCCATCAGTGGGGCAAATGCAGGGTTGAAGACGGGAGGGCAGTCACATCAGAAAGCCTCCGTGGATGCTGGCACCAGCTGGGGTGTCTTTGAGAGGTCCTTCTGGAGACTTCTGTGAGCTGCCTCATTGCAGCTCATTCCTCTCCTGGGGTACAGAAGAGTGTGTGACATCTGTCACTGGGCCCTGCATGAGACCTGTGGGATGTGCAGCGGTGGGCAGCAAGGGCCTCCCCACCCACCCCGTGGCTCTCCTGCCCACCAACCTCCTGCCCAGCTCTGCACTCACGCTGGTGCCACAACCCTCTCATGGTCCTTTATGTTCACCCAGGAACAGGCAAACCTGTGGCTGTTAAATCCCAAAACACCAGGGTTTTACAGCATCGTTATAATAATGCTTTTGTTTTTTGCTGATTCTAAATGTTCTGCAATGAGCATATATAGCATTTAAGCATACAGAAAAGTACAACATAGTCTGACATATTGGTGTAGTAAGATGGCAGTAAGTATTAATAGCATTTACACCGGGCACTGTGCTAATACCTTATGTATTATTTTACTAAAACCTCACAGGAGTCCTGTGGGGTATGTGCTATTGTTTACCTCCATTTGACAGGTTGGGGAACTGAGGCACAGAGAAGTTAGGAAACTTTGCCCAGGGCTGCAGAGCTAGTTAGCAGTTGAGCCAGTGTTCAAGCCCTGGGAGCCTGCCTCAAGAATTCATAGATGAATTCCCCCTTGGCTTAGATATACATTCTGGGGTTTCTTTTTTTAATTATTTTGCCTTTATTTCTCTTGACATTCTGTAATAGACATGTTTCCAGCATTCTCTGCCCTTTACACAGTGATCCTTCTTAATAACTCCCTATTTCTTGTTATAGCATCATATGGTGTCTCGTTTTGGCCTTGGCCATGATGGCAAGGAGCTGGTGCGTGTGGTTTAGAGTTGCCCTGGTGGCCCTGGTTTTGGGTCCTCACCTACTGTTAACTTGATACATGAGCTCCGGCAACTCCTACGTATTTATCTGGGCCCCAGTCCCTTTATCCACATAGGTGAATAGAGAGCCTCCCCTGAGAGGCCAGGGTGGCGGTGCGCTGAAGGGGCGTCAGCGTTCCTGGCGCGGTCAGGGGGAAGCGCACCTGCGCCGTTTTCACAGGTGCTGGCACATAGGCCCTTCACACAGCCGGGGTTCCAGAATGGGCTGGTTGCTTGCTCAGTCCCTTGGCCAGTGCTCAGGAAGCAGCCTCCAGAGCTCCTTGGAAGGGGCTGGGAGAGATGGGGAAGGACCCCAGGAGCCAGGCTGGGGCTCCCAAAGCAGATGCAGAAACTGTTTTGCCAACACCCTTCCTCCCTTGCGTTCTCTTCCCGAGGCAGGAAAAGTATATGGATTACATGATGCACGAGTTCCAGGGAAAAGAGGAGATGAGGAAGAACCAGTACCGCCTGCACTTCATCCTTCCCATGACGGTCATCCCCCTGTAAGGAGCCTCTGCCCTGGACCTGGTGGGCAGGAGGGGGTGACTGGAGGAGTGCTGGTGCCGCCCTGCCATGAAACCCCTTCCTAAGCCCACGAGCCACTCCTCCGGGCCGACCCATGGGCTGGTGTCAGGCCTGCCGCTAGATGTCCTGTGGCTCATTTCAGCCTCACAACCCTGTAGGTATTTGTGAGGGCCTAAGGCAGGTGAATTTGTCCCCATTTCACAGATCAGGAGACTGAGGTTCAGAGAGCTCAAGTGGCTTGCCCCAGGCCAAGAGGTAGAAGGCGGTGGGGCTGCTCCGTCCCAGTCTCGTCGCCCTGTCCCCGCAGCGTACTGCTTTGCTTCTCCAGCATCCTCTGCTGGCCAGGCTGAGTGGGATAAGACCCAGTGGCCGTCTTATCCACGGGGCCACCGGCGGCTGGCATATGCTGGCGTGGGGCATTCCCCAGAGGTGACGGAGGAAATTGCTCCTCGAGCCCCGGGCCAGGCCGCGGAGGCTTCAGTGGGGCTGGCCCTTGGGAGCAGGTGCCTCTGTGCCTCCTGGAGCTTGGCGGCTCTGTCTGTGCCTCGACGTCTGCCTGCCCACCTGTGCCCGCCCCTCCCTGGGCCTCTGCCAGCCTCTGTGCCCACGGGACCGGGCTCTCAGGGCGAGGGGAAGCGTCTTTTCCTCTTAGCCATCTTAGGGTCGTTGGCGCAGTCCCCTGCAGTAGAAGACAGATTTGCAGGGAAGAGCATACGACTTATTTAACATAAGTTTTGCGTGATGCTGAGCCTTCATGAAGAAATGAAGACCCCAAGAAGCAGTTAAACCTGATGTTTGGCCGGGCGCGGTGGCTCACGCCTGTAATCCTAGCTCTCTGGGAGGCCGAGGTGGGTGGATTGCTCGAGGTCAGGAGTTCAAAACCAGCCTGAGCAAGAGCGAGATCCCGTCTCTACCATAAATAGAAATAAATTAATTGGCCAACTAATATATATAGAAAAAATTAGTCGGGCATGGTGGCGCATGCCTGTAGTCCCAGCTACTCGGGAGGCTGAGGCAGGAGGGTTGCTTGAGCCCAGGAGTTTGAGGTTGTTGTGAGCTAGGCTGACACCACGGCACTCACTCTAGCCTGGGCAACAAAGTGAGACTCTGTCTCAAAAAAAAAAAAAAAAACCTGATGTTTTTGTGCTGGGTTTGATAAAGAGTGGACAGTCATGGAGAAATAGGCTGGGGCAATGGGAGTATGAGCTAATGTAATAGACTGGGAGAAACTTAGCAAGGCCTGTAGCTTATCCCAATTTTCTCTTATTTGTTTGTGCAATTTTATAAACCCAGAGAGCATTTCCAGCTTGGTGGAGAAAATAACCAAATCACATAGAGTTATCTTCGTGGAAGGGTAACTTTTAGGAGTTGGCTCACCTTGACTGAGCCTGGGCCTGGCGCACCAAGTGCACCATCTCACCTGATCCCGCCGCCCTGGGAGGTGGCGATACGGCATCGTGCGGGTGAGGAAGCCGGGGCCACTCCGCGATGGCCTTTCCCTGAGGCTGGCGTCCCTTCCACAGCTCTCACCTGTCACGCCCGTTCCGCACGGTCTTTGGGCCTGATGAGGTGGTGGGATGGGAAGTGAGGACTAGGGGGGCACTGGGAACACTCATCAGGCTCCCCACAGGGCTGTGGCCTGACGGCGGGGGAGAGGAGAACCGGGTCCGGCTGTGTGTTTCCCTGTGTCCTCTGCAGAGGTAGCAATGGCAGTCGAGTTTCACAGTGACATGGCTTTTCCTGAAGCCCTGGGTCAGGTCGGACCATGCCCACGGCAACATTTGGAAAGGACTCTGGGGTAGGGGTCGAGGCAGCTGGGTTCCAGTTTCAGCCCTGCTGGTAACCAGGACATAGCTCCAAGCAAATGGCAATCCCTTGGGTCCCTGTAAGGCCAGGCAACACCACCTGCCCTGCCGGGCCCCCAAATTGGGAGCCTAAGTGGGAGAGTGTGTGCCGTGGCCCTTAACAGAAAGCTGGCTTAGCCCAGGTGGGGCAGGAAGGCAGCGCTGAGGCTTGCTGGGAAGGTGGTAGGGGGGCGTCCTGCGAGGCCAGGCCTGCCCCAGGAGCTGTTTGCTGTGAAGAGTTGGGTGCTGGGGCCCCAGTGCCTCCCTGCCCCCTTGTCAGCTGCTGTCTCATTCTTGGGCTCTGTTCCCCCTCCACCCTGGAGCAGTAGAGCTGTTGCTAGAAAGGATTAGTTCTCAGTTTTCCGTTATAAGTCCCACTGCGCCCGCCCTCTGTGCGCTGCTGTTTTCCCATAAAAGAAGCACTGCAGAAGACCCCTGTCCCATCTGTTCTCTATCTCCTCTGTCCCGTTGCATGGGGAGGGGGCTGGCTGGCCGTAAGCTTGCTGCTTTCGGAGCCCACCTCATACCAGCGCCACACATGGGGCTCTCTCTCTTTGGCCACTGTTGCTGCTGCAGGAGAGATCTGCTTGGAGGAGGGGCAGAGCCCACATGTGTTGCCAGCTGCGGTTTCCAGCATGCACGAGTGCGTGCCTGCGTGTGTGAGCCACGCTCTGCGCGCTCGCTTCTGCGTGTCTCCCTCTGGGGCTGTGCAGGTGCTCCTGCTTTCTGAGTTGTTCTTGCGTGGACAATTCTCTCTCTTGTCACCTTCCTAGGAATCATGGCTGTGAGATTGTGAAAGTGGAATTTTTAACCCGCCGGTTCAAGAAGGTTGGATGTTTCCTGACTGTCACCAAAGACGGGACCCTGCAGTTCTGGTCTGAGTCCTTCTTGCTGATCAAGTCCTTCTGGGTGAGTGGGGCCTGTGCATGCGGGTGCTGGAGAGCCTCGGCCTTAGCGCCCTGACGGGAAAGGTGGCCGGACCCGGAGCGTGCTTGCTCTTGGGATTTGTGGTCCAAGCATCCTGGCCTTGTGGTCACAGCCCCTGGGTCGGATACTGGCTTCACATGGGAGCCTCACATTTCTTTTTGGTGAAGCAGGACCCCACCCGGATGCCCCTTCCACGTGGATGTCCCACAGACACCTCAGGCCCAGTTTGCCCAAACAGCGTGTCGCCTTAGCTCTCCTGGCCCACCAGGGTTACTTCTCTGTGTCCCCATCTCAGTGAATGGCATCATCATCCAGCAAGACTCACATGCTATAAGTCAGTCACACCCGTGCTGTCCCCAGTCCTGCTTATTTAAACCCTTTGCCTGGGTTGGGCGGGAAATCCCAGTGGCTGTGAGCATAGGCTTTCCAGCCTGGCCCCAGGGTTAGATCCTGCCTGTACCACCTGCCAGCTCTGTGACCCTAGACAAGGCACTATGCCTCAGTTTCCTCATCTGTCAAACAGGGATAGTAGTAGTACCCCGTGACAGAATATTGTATGCAGGGCAAGGCACCCAGCAAGCACCTAGTTCCTATCAGCCGACATCATCATTGCCTTTGTGCCCTCAGCTCCTGGCAGGAGTAGAGAGCGACAAGACACTCAGGAATACCCACTGTGCGTTTGGTGTTGCCAGTCCAGTGCAGACTCCTCCAGCTAGCGAGGAAAGCACTGCTCTCCAGGGCTCTACAGATGGGCTTTTGAGAATCTGCGTGCAGCATGGAGGGTTTTCTAAGCCTGTGTCACTGCAGAGTGTGGCATAGTCGCATCAGGGCCATGCCTTGGGGGAAGAGGGCCGGGATGGAATTAGGGTTTGTGGAGCCTCCTAGGCGCACCCAGGGGGAGTCCTGTCTGCCTTCCCGAGGCTGTGGCTTCTGGCACTCTCCATCCTCCTTTTCTGTGTGTGTCTATTGATGGTGGGCACATTGCAGCCTGAGCTCCTGGTTGTGGCTGCTCGTGGTCACCTCAGTGCCCCTCAGAAGCCATAGCCTGGGAGGGCTCAAGAGGACAGAGGAAGGCTCCCTGGGACGCCCAGCAGACCTGGGATTCTTCCTGGAGGGGCTGCTTTGGCAGGTAGATTTTGGCAAGAGTGGGCCTCTGTGGATGGCCTGTGAACGCTCACCGTGTGCCCGCTGTCACGCAGAGGCAAAGGCCTGGAGTTTGAGGTGGGGCCTGGGCCTCAGTCACGAGTGCGGCAACCTTGGGAAGTCACTGAAGCTCCCTAGGGTGCTCCGTTTCTCATCTGCACAGTGGGAGTGGTGGGAGTGATGCAGCTACGGATATATGGATTTGACCCCAGCCTGGCGTGGGAGAGGGCCTCAGGGGCTCTGTGTCCTCACTGCCCGAGGTACCTCGGGGAGCACAGGCCTCTCTGCTCTTGGTGCTGAGTTCCAATGAAACAGTCTGCTCCCTGCCTCCTGCCTTCACCGTTCCTTCTGAACATTTATCTAGAGGAATTGCTTTAAAACACCCCCAGCCCCTTCTAGATCATACTTCTGCTTTCTTCAGTTCAGAACCTGTGGGTATTCAGGGAGTAAATAGCATATTCCTCAGGTGACCACACCCAACTCCTCCCCTTTCTCTCGAATCCAAGCCTGTTGGGCTGGCCTGCCCAGGGACATAGCAGCTCATTTCTGCTGAAATGGCTTTGCTGTGGCTTCCCCTGCCTGGGGTGCTAACTCCAGTTCTGCTGCGTGCGTGTTATGTGAGCGTGGCACCAGAGTATAGAAGGGTGCTGGCGCTGAGCTGTGAGTGCTGGGCACCACCCCTGATGTGCTGGCAATCGTTATTCCATTTGTTCCTCGCACCCTTGCAGAACGATTGCTCATGAGTAAGCCGCGTTGACAGGTGACACCTGCAGATGGTAAACAAGGTTCAGACGCATTGGGGGTGTTAGGGTTAGGGCAGATGGTAGAAAGTCAGTCTCCCTTCCCCAGACCTTAATTCTTCTCCCTGGAGGCAACTTCTGTGACCAGTTTTGGAGTGTTCCTCCATGGCTAGCCTCTTCTTGTACCCTCCTCTTTTCTTGTTAAATACACAAGTGGTAGCACATTGTAATGCTGCTCTCCACCTTGCTTACTCGTTTGATATTAATATATCTTGGCAACTCTTCTTTCTGGGCCTGTGCACAGCTCCCTGTTCTTAGTGTCTGGGTGATGTCCCATGCTGTGGGTTGACATAAGCAGCACTTTCCAGGCGGTCCCTGGCCTGTTGCTGTCACAGCAGTGCTGCAGTGCCCTTGAGTACGTGCAAACACACCCATACATATGTCTTGGAAACAGCTCCCTGGATCAAAAGCTATGTACATTCACGGCTTTGATAGAACAGTGAAACTGCTCTAAAAGGGTTCGTGAAGGTGTGTGTTCTTTAAGCCCATTTTACAGATGTGGAAACTGAGACTCATCCAAGACCTCCATCATTAGCAGTCAGGGTAGCACTGGGCTCCTTGCCAAGTCTGTGCCTGGCTCCAGGGCCTCGTGTGGCAGCAGAGGGTTTGCGGGGAGCCTCCTGCGCTTCTTGGGCAAACTTCCCCAGCCCGTTTCTGCTCTTCCTCTGGCCAGCTTCACCAGCAGCTCCACAGCCAGCAGCTGTGGGTCACTGACATGGTGTGTCTGCACAACAATAACCTCGTCGCAGTTGCAACTGCTGAACAGAAGATAGGTGAGTCCACTGGGGCTCTCCAGGGCGGCTGTCAGCCATTGGGAACCATGCATTTGTACTTGCGTGAGGTCTGTTGGCCGAGCAGCTGTGAACACGGATTGGAATGTTGCCCGGTGGTGAGGCCTTAACAGTCAGAGTGTGGTTAGTGAGGGCCTGCCGAGTGCTGGGTGCCACAGAGGTACCGGGAGGGCCAGTCACTCCTGCTGTTGACTTCGCGACTCCCACTTTGTGTGCCGACGCCAAGTAGGCAGGGGTGCTCAGTAGATGCTGGAATGAATACACGGATGTTGAACAGATCCAGGTTTATAAGCCAGAGGCCATAACCAGTTTATCTCCAGTCCCGATTCTACCTGCTATCTCTTGCCACTCCTCGTCCAGCCCACCTTCATCTCTCACGTAAATAGCAGCGAAACCCCTCCTACTTGCCACACTTCCCCTCCAACCCCCAGAGCCAGGGCACACTTTTAAAATGCCTGTCTGCAGAAAGCCTTCAACTTTCCCCTATTGCTCTTAGGGTGAGATGGGCTCCTCAGCGTGGTCTACAGGCCCTAAAAGGTCTGACGTCTGTTTCCCCCAGCAGTCTCCTCCTCACCTGTCCCTCTCCCTATGGCACTGAGGCCACCATGGCCTTCTCTTACCTCCTCTGGTGGACTCTGTGGCCTCTGTCGTGTGCTCTGCCATCCCGCCTGCACCACTCCCCACTCCTGCATGTTCTGCTCTTTCTTTTGCTCTCATCTCAGTTGTCACTTCCTCCAGGAAGCCTTCCATGACCACCTTGTCCAAGTCAGGTTCCTTTGTTAAAAAGACCCTCGTGAGATTGTTCCTCTTTCCTTCAAAGTCCCCTTTTGAGTGTAATCATCATTTATTAGTGTGATTCTTAATTTAGCGTCTGTCTCCTCCAGACTGGAAGCTCCATGAGGCCAGGAAGCTCCATGCGTCTGTTTTGCTCAACTCTGTATCTCAGTGCCTGGCCCTTCCTAGATGCTCGATGACTATGCATGGGTGGCTGGATAGATGAGTGAATGGATGAAGCATCCGACTGAGTGGACTTGTGAGGTGGGCAGGGAGAGGAAATAGCTAAGTGAAACTACAGTTGATGACACAAGGCTAAGTGGGAGAAGACGGAGCAGCTGTTCTAGAACAAGCAGGGACTTTGGAATCACAAGGACCTGATCTCACCACTCTGTAGATATACAACTTTGGTCAATGATTTTACCTCCTGGTGCCTCAGTTTACCCAGTGGTAAAATGGGGCCAACAATACATGTCTCCAGGGTGAGTGGGGCTTAGTGGTTAGGTGTGTGATGCCCCTGTCATAGCGCGGGGCACATGTTGGGTGCCCAGTCCCTGTTAACATCATTGTGAGGGTAAACTGTGATGCAGAAGGGGAAAGTGGGCCGTCATCAACGCCAGCTGGAGCCCTCTCTTTGTGGCCCACTCGGGCTTCAGTTGCAGTGCCCACTCCCCGAAGACCAGGTGCTGTTGGTGTTCTCTCCCTATCCTCAGCCCTGAGAGTTTGGCACTAGAACCCCATTTCATCATTGCTGTCCCGATGGAGCAGCTGTCATCTGCTCAGAGGCACTCAGTCAAGGACAGAGGCAGGGATGGAAGTGGCACCTGTGTGACCCTTGGCTTTTGAGGCCCCAGCCCAGCCAGCCCTCCTCTTGTGCCCCCCCTTCTCGGTGGCTGGCCATGTGCAGAGCAGAGGGGGCCAGAACCCGCCACTCAGGCGGGGACGATAGCGCAGCGGTGAGGCTGTGGCTCATTAGACAGAGGCTGGGACTGAGGGTGGTTGGGTTGAAAGGAGCCAGACTTCTGAGCGGAGTTCGGAGCTGAGGCAGCTGGATACAAGGGCATCATTGAAGGCTTTTGAAAAGGACGAAAGTAGGTTTCAAAAGGTTAGCCTGGCAGGGGCTGGTGCAGGACAGAGTGGGGGAAGGGGCCAAGGCTGCAGGAAGTCTTCTCTGTGAGCCCTTCCTCACAACGCACCTGCGCATAATCCGCACCTGTGCATAATCCGGCAGGTCCCTGCCTGGTCTGGGGCTTCTAGCAGTGGGGGTGACGGGGCTGGCCTGAGCCCTGCCCTGGGAAGGAGGCGGGTGAGTGATCGGCCAGGCCCTGGCGTGGGTTCTCTGCTTCTGTCTGCTGCCAGCACCTGGAGGGAAGCTCAGAGAGCATGAACGGGATAGCCGAGGGCCACAGGGGACCGAGGCTTCCAGCTGGCCGCAGTGCCCAGGGTCAGCATTTGCTTGTCACCCACAGTCACTCAGTGAACCTCCGCAGAGCACTCGGTGCTGTGCTAGGCGCTGAGGATCCTGCAGGGTGCCACATGGACATGCTTCCTGCCCTCCTGGAGCCCACGTTTGAGAAGGAGAGACAGACCCTAAATGCCAAACAGAACAAAGAAGTGGTTAGAGGCCGGGAGAAGTGCCAGGAAGGAAATCAACAAGGACCTGAATGTCCAAGTCATCTAAAATCCAAAAAAAAAAAAAAAAAAAAAAACAAGGACCTGAGGAGGAGAACAACAGTGGGGTCCTCGTTTAGGCCATTCTGAGGAGGTGACATTTGAGATGGGTCTTCAAGGAGTCCCAGGAGTGTTCTGGGTGGAGGGAACGGCAGTGGAGAGGCCCCGAAGTGGGACAGGCCTGCTGTGTCCGAGGCGCTGAAAGGCTGGAGCCTGGTGTGCGGGCCAGGGTGGGGCGTGGGGTGCAGTGGGGGCGTGGGGTGCAGCAGGGGAGTGGGGGTGCAGCGGGGGACTGGGGGTGCAGAAGTCCACAGTGGCTGGCCACACAGCCCTTGCTGACTGCAGCTGGGCACTTGGGATTTTATTCTGGGGCGGTGGGAAGCCATGGGGGCGTTTCAGCAAGGACCTGGCTTGGTGGGTTTACTGTGTGACCAGTTGCCTCCAGTTGCTTCGGGGAAAGGGTGGGAGGGGCTAGAGAGGCTTCAGGAAGAGCTGGGAGGCTGCTCCCCATCACTGGAGACCTCCCAGGCCTGGGGCAGGGGTTTGGGTTCCATGTGCACCTTCTCTTCTGCCTCTCCCCAGAGTTCTTTGATATTAGTAACTATCAGTGTGTCCGGGCCTTCACCTTTGCTGATCTGGACAGCTGTGTTCTGGTCATGGACTACTGGTGAGTCTCACGGGAGAGCTGGGCAGGGTCTTGGTGGCAGCCACATCACTTGGTAGGGTTGGGACCCCCAGAAAGCATCCCTGGAAACAGCCCTGGTTCTGAGGCCCGTGGATCCTCCTCCCGCCAGCCTGCTTCTCTCTCGGGGTCACCTCTCACCGCCACTCAGACCTTGGAGTCCTTGTCGCTCCTCTCCTTCTCGCTCCCCACCCAAATCGGCCGTCAAGCCCTGGCAGAGGCTTGTCCTGCTTGGGCCGAGGACTTGGAAAGTTGTAGGCTATAAGGAGGGTGACCTGACAAAGGGCCATTAGAGGACTAGGGATTAATTTATTTTGGTTGAAAAAAACTGAGTTCTGGTTTAACGACGGTCTGGATCCAGGCTCCTGGGCCCATATCTGTCAGCGAGGCCAGCAGGTCCTGCTGGAACTGTGCTCGCTCCCAGGTGCAGGGATGGCCTTGGAGGACGGGGAGGGGCGGGGGCTCATAGCCTGGTCTGTCTCCACCCTTCCCCAGGTCTGACTATCACAGAGGTGTGTTCTGCTACGGGGACACCAAAGGCAACGTCATCATCTTCACCTCCGAAAACGTGACCGACGGGCTGTTCAACCCCAGCGTCCTCCCCAAGGCCTCCAAACGGGGTAGCTAAGATGCCCAGGGCAGGGTGGAGGCTGGCAGTGCACTGGGAGCGGGTGCTGAGGTGGCCCTAGCCCCACGGCTCCTCCCTCTTTTGCTCTGGAGCCTCTGGGAAGGTGGCTCCTCGGAGCTCAGCATCCTGTAGGAGAGAGTGGCGGTGGGGTGGGAGCAGGATGCCAGACGGGCTGAGAAGGGGCAGTCTCTCTGAAGGGTGGGGTTGTGCAGGTGAGGGCGGGGGGCTGCAGGGACCCCCCTCATCCAAGGAAAAAGGAAGTGTACTAGCTGTGTGACCCTGGGGAAGTCACTCATCCCCTCTGAGACTTGGGGTGAGGGCACTGGCTTCCTTGGATGGTGGTGAGGAGGCTTCTGCTCTCTGGCTCTGGAGCTGTCTTTGGGTGGGCAGGGGGTGGGGAGGAGACGCTGCCCTGGAGCCGGGCTCTCTGGGGCCTGGAGGCCACCTGGCTGACGTGGGTGTGAGTAAGCACCGCCGACGTCACTGAGCCCCATGTGCTGGGTGCTTTGGGTGCATCACCTGCCATAATCGCTGTCAGGGGGAGGGGCTGCTGTTACAGCCTATTAACAAGAGGGGCTTAGGAGCTGAGTCACCTGGTCGCGAAGGTCTGAGGTCAGGGTGTCTGCCCAGAGTCTACGCTCTTGCCACCTTGCTGGGCTGCTTCCCAGATTGACTAAATGCTGAAGGAAGTTGTTTGGAGATGCTCTGCCAAGTGACACTAGGTCCCCAGAAGCTACAGGGCTTGGGGCTGGCTAGGGACTCCTCTGAAATGGATCCTGTCCTGGATTGAGCCTTGGATGCACAGTGTTAGGTCTTCAGGCTGCTCCACATCCATCCAGATGAGGCCCAGGCCACTAGAGGCCCAGCCACAGGGACACTGACCCCTCCTCCATTTAGGACACCAGAGCTGCCCCTGGGCTTCCAGCCAGAGTTTCCAAGCAAGACACCATCCAGGGCTTCCCAGGCCTCGGCAGAAATAGATCCTGTCCTGGACGCAGCAGTGGCTCCCACCTGCTTTGTCCCTGCCTTGTCGGCCTCTGGTGCCTGCCCTGCCCCAGCCACTCCGCTGTCTGGCCCTGGCTACACTGTACCACCCTGGGAATTGGCAGGGAGGTTGTGGTGGTCTTTGGGCTGAATGGTAGACGAGAAATCGAGGGAGGCAGGTGAAGCTGGAGTCCTGGACAGGATTCCTTCCACGCCACCTGCTGATTGAAGGCTGAGAACATGAAGACAAGGTGGGCCTTGACTTGGAGGAAATGGACAGACCCAGGTGTGCACCCCAGCTCTGTGACCTGGAGCCAGTCACTTGACCTCTCTGTGCCTCCATTCCCTTATTCAAATGGGGCCATCATACATAATTAATGGCTTTGCTGTAAGGCGCATGGAACCAAGGCACAGAGTTAGGCACATGGTAAGTGCTCAGGGACTATATCTTCTCCCCTGCCCTCCCTGGGACCTCACAGCCTAGTGGGAGAGACAGGCAGGTAAGCACAATCACACCACAGCTCCTCACGAGGCTGCCTCCTGCCTGTGCTCGCGCATACCCATCCCCGTTTTAGCAGCCTTGTGCGGCATTCCACACCCCGGGACTTCCTTTGCAAGCTTCTTCCTGCCCTCGCAAGATGGGGCTGGTGCCTTTGCAGCAGTAAAATGCTTGGCAGGAGCCCCCAGATCCACCCCACGCCTTTCCCTCCTTAATCCCTGGGAGGGCGCCTGCGCCCAGACCGCTCTGCATTCCTGACCTACCTCCTTCAACTGCTCTGAGGGTGGACCCAAGTTTGTCCTCCGACTCCACTGGCTCCACCCGTCCATGTCCAGCTTGCTTCCCGGGGGACTCATCAGCTGCTGGCCTTGGGTGGTTTCGGCGGCCAGGAGACTCTGAGCCCAGCGAGGGCTGCACCTGGCCTGCTGTCATTGCTCTAGAGGTGCTTGCTTTGTGACGGGTGCCCGCACCTTCCACTTCTTGGAACTTGTCTGTCGGGACAAGGCACACGTGTCGTTTGAGGCATGAAGACAAACTCCCCTGGGACTACTTTTCCGAATGAACAGAACCCAGAGTCTCAGTTCATTCTCCGTTCCAGCGAAGCGGGAGCTCCTGGTGGAGCATCAGCTTGCTTAGAGCGCGGCATCTGGGGCCAGAGGGGCCCTGCGGTCTGGTTCTGGTCCTGCCATGACCTGGCAGGGGACACTCTGGGGGCGGTGTTAATCTTGCTGGGGTGGAGCACCACTGAACTCAGAAGGGAGGACACAGTGAGGTGCGGATGAGTGTTTAGACAGGAAAGCCTGGAGAACGTAGGAGTTGTAAACCAATTCGAGATGTCCTTTGAGGCTTTGCTTGTCTGGCAAAGGGGGAAGCTGGTGATTTGCACCTTGGTTTCTTGCCCTATCAGATCACTGGATCAAAGTTTCCATGCAGAAACTCTTAAATGAGAAGTCCGCCTTTTATAGAAGTTACCGAATGAAGGTAAGTTGTCTCCTTGGCCTGTTCCCATGGTCATTATCCGTATACATGCATCACTCAAAAATAAGTGCAAAACATGGGTCTACCCCCTGGGTTCAGTCTTAGTGCTTAGAGCTTGGTCTCTGGGGACAGGTCAAGGCAGCTGTTGAGTCCCATGAGCTCTGCAGAATGCGTGAGGATCCCAGGCGTGGCCACGTCTCTCTCACTGCCGTCCCTGCTCAGCCCTAGTCTGGGCAAACAGCCTCTCTCTGGAATCGTTCAGTGGCTTCTGGCTGGTTTCCCCACTTCCTTTCTCCCTGCAGCACCGTCTCCATTGAGAGCCAGAGGAATTACATGTTAGAAATACAGTCGTGTCACCCGGTAGCGTCTCATCACAGTTGGAACGAAATCTCAAGTCTTTACCGTGGCCACCCAGACGCGGGGTGATCTGGCCGCCGGCTTGCTCTGGGTCTCGTTTCCTGCCTTTCTCCTCCTCGTTCCCTCTGCTGCAGAGACACAGGCTCCGCGACACAGCCCTTTCCCACCGCTGGCCGGGGCAGTGCTGCCCTCCAGGTTGCAGGGCTCGTCCTGCAGATACTGTGTGCCCCTCTCTGCTTCCTTCCTGTTCTTCCCTGCAGCGCTCGCCACCTCCCAGCTATGTATTGTCCATCACAGCCTGTCACCCTCATGAGACTGATAGCCTCTTGGGGACAGGGACTCTGTGTTGTGCTCTCTGCTCTGTCTTCAGGGCCTAAAGCAGTGCCTGGGGCTTAGTGGGCTCCCAGGACATTTATTGAACAAATGAATGGACTAATGAAAGAACACTCAGGGCGGGTGGGAGTGGGGTGGCCCAAGGCTCCTAAATGCCTCTTTCAGAGAGGTCAGAGCCTTCAGGTACTGTGGCCCTCTCAGGAGGAAGCATGCGGTGGCTGTCCCTTTCCAGCTTCTGTGCGAATCTCATCTTGGGCTTGGCTTCCCCCGTGTGGTGCTAAGTACCCAGGTCCCATTCAGTGCCTTGGATTTGGTGCCTTCATGACAGACACTTGGGGAGATAGCGTTTGTAAAACCTAGCTCGGGGCCTTGCCCGTGGAAGGCACTGAACGAATGTTTGATGAGCCAGTCTCTCCAGTCCGTTTCCTCTACTCTTGTCCTAGAAAGGAAAATCTAGGGATTTTCCCAGGGACATTCAGAGCCCAGCCCGCCCACCCGTTGGGCTTGTGTGTTATCCTTCTGTTGCCCAACTCACAGCAGAGCGCACACTCACACACTCCGCGCTCCCGTGAGCACGGTATCCAGACACGCGTGGAGGGCAGCAGTGGGCCGGAGAACAGGCTCCTCCACAGTGGGGCTCCCTGTGGGTGGCAGGACCATGGCCTGGCCAGGCTGGAGTCTGTCCTTTCTCCCCTGTTGGGGGACTGATATTAGTAGGGGTCCCACCTTGCCCATCCTCTAACTTATAAAACGAGTGCAAATGAAGGCAGGCTCACGCAACTTTAAGCTTTTTAGACGGAAGTGATGGCCACCACTCTGGGTCATGGGGCCTGGGCTAGGACCGTGGGGCCATATAATTAATATTAATACTTTGTCTGTGATTCCCTAGGAGAAGGGAGTTAGACTCCATGATCTCGGTCCTGCCCACGTTCTGGGGCCAGGCCTGGAGTGCTGTCCTTGGGTTGGGTCCCCTACCACCGCCACTGTCTTCTGCAGGCTCTCCATCCCAACTGGTGTCAGAAGGTCAAGTTCATCCACCAGGTGAATCTGGTGGCCTCCTGTTCTGCCATTGAGAAGTCCTCCCTGGTGCTGACAGTATTGCCATTCACGGCCTCTGAGAAGCCCACGTAAGGAGACCCTTCTCCAGGCTGAGGCCACGGGGTGGGGGAGGTGGGTGGTGAGTGTACCTGAGGTGGGTCTGGCCTCACTTCAGCGTCGTGTGGGCGTCCCTGCAGAGAGGGGACCCACGTTTGGGTTAGTGGCATCTCCGGTGGACAGTGCAGTGTCCTGCAGAAAAGGCCGGTCCAGGGTAGCAGTTACAGTGGGGTGTGGTGGTCGGAGCACAGAGGTCTGGTTTTAGTCGTCACTCAGCCGTTGCCACCAGTGGCTCCTTTGCCCACCAATTTATATGCATAGCTCAGCATAGGAGCCGGCGCACGGTGGCGAGGCAGCCAGCGAAACGTTTTCTGAATGAAGGAATGAAAGCAAGTTACTTGTCCTCTGTGAGCCTCAGTTTCCTCATCTATAAAAGGGGGTGATGACAGCACATACCCCACTTACCTCAAGGACCACTTGAGTGAATGCTCTGCGTGTGTGTGTCCAATCATTGGTAGCATTAGTTCTCTGGAGATGGTTCCAATCTATTCCTCTACCCCAGAGAGAATTTTTTCCTTTCCTTTTAAAAAGTCAGTTATTAGTCACACAAGTATATGTTAAATGCATTGTCCACGTAAAAAAATTAAAACATTAAAAATAAGGTTGGAGTCGTGTGGGGTCCCCCTCCCCATCTCCAATCCCCATTCCCTCACCTGTTGTCGAAGCCCCCACTTGTGTTGTTTTGGTGTTATTTAGTCTGCGTGCATTTGACGGTAGGCACTTCCCCCGAGTCTCTCGGTGGCGTTCTCTGGCTGACCCAGGTGTCAGGCCTTTGGCCTTGTGGCAGTTGGGTCCCCGCAGATTGAATAGTGAGCACCAGGTGAGTCTTCTTGGGGGAAGCCAGATTTGAGGCCTAGTGTTGGGGAGCAGCCAGGTGAGACACGGGGGAGGCCGGGGGCCACTCAGGCCCTGTCTCTGTCTGTCCCTTTCTGTCCTGGTTGTTGTCCACAGGAAGATTCAATCCTGAGATGAGAAGGCTAATTTAGTCCAGCTGGTCATTCTACAGACAGGGGAAACCAGAGGCTCAGGGAGGGAAGTGAAAACTGTTTTGAGCTAGGGTTTATCTCAGGCCTCATTGTAAGCCCAGTACCTTTTTAACCAAAAAGTGTTATGTGCACATTCCCTGCCAAGCCCTGGAGCTCACTGCAGGCTGGAGGACGGGCCTCCGAGAGGGTCTGGTGCGGCCCGGATGTTTCAGTGGTGGCTTCAGTGCTCTGGGTGCAGCTGTGTGGCGGATTTTGTTTGGAGCCGGTTTGTTGGGATCCTCACTCTGCTCTGGTGGTAGTATTACCCCACGTATATGGTATGCGCTTCATTCAGCTTCTTGTTTTATTGGATCCTGATGGCAAGAGGGTTTCAGGGGTCACCTCACCAGGGCCATGAGGGCCTCTGCAGGTCCTGCTGCCTTCCTGCTCTCACCTCTTCCTCCTCCTCCTCCCCGCTCCAGCACCACTGGCCTCCTTGAGGTTCGGGCCTGCTCCTGCCCCGGGGCCTTTGTACCAGTTCTCTCTGCCCGTGTGCTCTTGCTTAAGTAACATTTTTATTATGTAAACTTTTAAATACACACAAAAATAGAGAAAATAGTATAATTCTTTAATATCACTTAGTACCTAGTCCAAATTAATATTTCCCCAAGTGTCTCAGAATATGTTCTTTTTTTCCTTTTTTTTTTTGAGACAGGATCTCACTGTGTTGCCCTTGTTGGAGTACAGTGGCATAGTCATAGCTCACTGCAGCCTCGGACTCCTGGGCTCAAGTGAGCCTCCTGCCTCAGCCTCCCGAATAGCTGGGAATACAGGCCCATATGACCACACCTGGCTAATTTTTATGCTTTTGTGTAGAGATGGGTTTTGTTATATTGCTCAGGCTGGTCTCAAACTCGTGGCTTCAAGTGATCCTCCTGCCTCGGCTTCCCAAAGTGCTAGAATTACAGGCATAAGCCACTACAACTGGTCTCAGAATATCTTCTTATAATTATTCAGAATCAGATATGAGCAATGTTCTGGGATGGTTTTGAGCAGAGGACTGGTGAGTCTGTGTGGGCAGGAGTGGTAGTAGGGGCATTATAAAGAGGCCATTGCAATAATTTAGGCTATATAGGATAGCGGCCTAGAGTTGACCAGCCAATGGAGATGGAGGGACTGGAGATGTACTTGTATTAGGAGGATAGGTTGGAGAATGTATTTACACACATACTTTCTTGTCTGAATGTAGTATAGCACACTGGTCAGCAGGTGGCACCATTGACCGCTTGCTGATCTGTTTTTTTGGAGCTGCAAGTGGGGCCTGGTACTGCCTCTAGGTCTCAGCCTCCAAGACACAATCTTTGTGTGCCCAAGGGTCTGGCCTCCCTGTAGCCGGCCAGGTGGCTGGAGCCAGGAGTGAACCTGATGGAGGAGCTGGTGTGGAGTGAATGGGCTGACCCACGTCATTTTCCCCTATTGCCCGTCTTCTTTCCCTTCTGTCTTCACCACCTGGTTGAAGTCACCGTCATCTCCCACTCGAACTGCTTGCAGATCTTAGCAGCCTTACCACGACATCCCTCTGGCCGCCTTTCCCGCACGGCAGCCATCTCCAGATCTGATCCAGCTGGGGCACTGCGTGGAGCGGCGCCTCCTGGCCCACCCAGCCCCAGCCATGCTGGCCTTGCGCATGCTGCCCCCTCAGTCTGCAGCTTCCCCCAGCCCCTGTCGCGGCTCGTCCCACAGCCAGCTCCTCCTCGTCCTTCGGGTCTCAGCTTCCCTGCACCCTCCTCAGAGAGGCTTGCAAGAGTGAGTCTCCTTCAGTTTTCTTCTGTTGGAGACACCTGTTTATTTCCCTGGCAGCTCTTGCCATGCTTTGTCAACGTCCATCTCCCGTCTCTCCGCCCAGGTACCTGCTCGTGCTGCTTCCCTCTGGAAGGGAAGCGCCGCGAGGCAGGGTCCAGAGCTGCGCTGCTGGGAACCTTGCAGAGTAGGGGCCCGTGCGTCTTTGTTGAGTGAATGAATGAATCAGCCTGAAATAATTTCCAAAATGATATTTTATGACTGTTCTTCCAGAATATTTTTCTGCACGCATGCTTGTGGAAAGAGGTGTATCTGGTTTGACAATAAATGAAATGTATATGCATGTATATGTTCTTCTTGAAGCTTTGATTTTTAGGGGCATCCCTGTGGTTGTAGAGTGAAGGGAACATTCGAGTGGGAACAAAACTGGAGGTTGGGAAACTAGCTGGGAGGCTGATGCAGAAAGGAAGGGGGCCTGGGCCCAGCAGAGGCCCTGAGTGTGGACTCAGGGCCTGGCTGGATAACGGGCAGGGCCTCCATGCCGCCCAGGATGCTCCCAGGCTGCTGGCTTAGGCCCCCGGAGGTGGTGGAGGAGGGCTGGGTGCCCTACAGCAGGGGCCTTTGAAGGCGGGCGAGTTAGAAAGTGCTGGCAGGGCAGGATGTGTGGATGAGAGGTAGGAGAGTGGGCAAAGGCACAGGGTGCCTCGGGTTCTTGGGTCTGCGAGGGCTGCTGGGCCCTGGCCTTCCTGGCACTCCTGTCTGGGTCATCCTGGCCCTTCGGTCTAAATCCTGACCCCTGTCGGGGGGAAGTAATATTTTTTCTTCACCCATTGCAAGGATTATGGCTGAGGCTCCAATAACAGAAGATAGATTAACAAGAGAAAAGCACACACATGTATTTAATACAAGTTTTATGTGACATGAGAGCCTTCAGGACAGACAGCCCAAAGAAACATGGAAAGCTGTGTATTTTGACACTAAGTTTGATGATGCATGGATAGTCTTGCAGGAGTATGGTCGGGCGGTCGGACGTAGGGCTACAATCCAATGTTAATAAACTGGGGCAGGGACTTAACAAGCCCTGTTTGTTCAGATTCTTCTCTGTGTCCCTGTGTTCAGAGATAAGGACATTTTGTTCCTCGAGGTATAGGGTGAGCACCTATGGGATGAAGTTTTATGACCTGCTTCGGGGGGGATGGCAAGGGGGAGGCGAGAGTGGCATCTTGTTTCTGCTGTTGTCTCAAATGCCAAGGTGCCATATTTTGGGGTAGCATGTCCTGAACCCCATAAACTGATCATTTGCTAGCTGTGTGGCCTTGGGCGAGCTCCTTCACTTCCCCTTCTGGTGTCTCTATCCCTGCACAGGGCCGATGCCAGTCTCCAGGGCTGTGTGAGGGGTCCAAGTGACCCAGGAGACAGCCTCCACACGGGGACCAGCGCATAGCAAGGGCGTGGCACCCAGATGCTCTCTTCCCTTTCCCCTGCCCTTGGAGCCCCCCTTTTTCTTGATGTGTGTCATGGGTGGGAGGACACCTGTCCTGGGATAGTTGACGTGAAAGTCCAGTTCAGATGCCCTTGGCATGAGGCCAGATGCCTTACTAATGTCAGGAGTTGCTCCTGCCTCGGGGCTGTTTCCACCCGAGAGTGGGAGCCTCTCCCATGAGCTGCCGCTTTGCTGGTGGCCTTGCCCCCAGCTCCTGCCACCCACCTGCTCAGTCTCGGAGGCCCCCTGAGGCTGCTGCACCAAGCTCTGCAGCCCTCACCTCTTTGCCACTGTAGGTTGACAGTGCTGAATCTAAGAAAAGGGATTCTTTGCTTTGATTACTGCGCAGACAAGAACTTCCTGGGTGAGTGAGTAATCTCCATGTCGCCCAGAGCTGCTGGCCTGGCAGGGCTGGGGTGAGGACTGCTGGGGGCGTGGGCACCACTAGGGCTGGGAAGAAGGCCCTGTGGCACTGGCCTCTGTCTGGCCTCTTCTCCTGCTGCTCTCAGCCTTGCTCGTAGGCCCAGCATGCTGATGCAGGCTCTGCACGGGATAGGGGTGGAGGAGAGGGCAGAACAATGGAGCCCAGGGACACCCCCACCTGGCAAGCCTGGCTGGGGCTGAGGCCTGACCCTGGAGGAAGGGTCCCGGTGGGGGCCTGGGTCGCTGATGCCCATTTCCTCACCTCAGTGACTGGTGGTTACAACCCCATCATCCACCTCTGGAACCCCTCTGTCTCAAAAAAGCCTGTGTGGATGATGAAGGGACATCAGACCTCAGTGACACATGTCATCGTGAACAACAGGAACAGCAGCATACTCATCAGCGTCTCCAGGGACAAGGTGCTATCTCACGGAGCCCCCATCCCCCATGAGTTCTGTCATCCTAGGCGGGACACTGGCACTGGGAATGTGAGCTGGTTCAGCCAGCCCAGGGGAGCGATGCTGGGAGGAACAATGTCACCTCCCGGCCCATGGTCCTGGGCAAAGGCCTAGAGGGAGGAGCTCTGGGAGGAATGAAGGAGAAGACGGCCCTGGGTCCGAGCAGTCCTCCAGAGCTGGGTTCCTGCACAGCCCAGCCTGGCTGCTCACTCTGTGCCCTGGGCAAGTCCCTTCCCTTTCCTGAGCCTCAGTCTCCTCACCCACAGAATGGGCTGTTGAGTGGTTTAGAGGGGACCCGGCAGTACAACAGAGCGTAGTGTCTGGAGTGTAGTAGTACGATACGCATGAGCCAGCCCCTGCCCATCTCGCTGTCAGTGGCGCCGGTGGCCTCCCCCTGCCTGGCTGGCAGGGCTGCCTCGCCTTGCTCAGACGCACGGGCCCATCCCTGCCCCTCTGCAGCTAAGGGTTCAGGATGCCACCCATCTGCTGGGCTATCCAGGATACCAGGCCAGCAGCTACGGGTGACCTCTCTCAGGGGACAAGTTGTGTTTTCTTGGACTCAGTAGGTAGAGAAGGCAGCCCCGGGTCCTGAGCAGTCCTCCAGAACTGGGCCCTCAGGGTCACCCAGGCCATCCTCCCCGATACCTCCTTACATACTACTGTCTGGAATTTTCCCAGCCGTGGGAGCTGGCATCATCACCTCCGACCCAGGATCTCAGGTTGGAGGGGTGGGGACAGGGATGGGATGCTGAAATTGTCACAGCCATGGCAGAGGCTGCCTCTAAGAAGTGAGGGCCTGGGGGGGTCCTCTGGGGAAAGCTCCTCTGAACAGGGGGCTACTCTGGGGACAGACAGGCATTTGGCAACTATGTTGGTGGCCACTCTTGGACTGTGTCCCAAGCTGGGTTTACTTGAGCGAGGCTGGAGTGGGAGCACAGGAGGGCCTGGCTGCACGTGCTGCCTTGGCCTCCATGCTCAGCCATGGAGTCGGCGACTGCAGTGGACGGAGGCTTGAGGGAATCCTGGGGGGCAGGGCCGTCCCTCGTCTCATCCCGCGCCATGCACCTGGGTCGTGTGAGCGTAAGAACAGCCTCTCTGTGGGAGGGTGCGATGGTGGCAGTGCTCAGGACATGCCCTATCCCCGAGCACCCACCCTCGGCCTCTTGCCTGCCTCCCACCCCCCCAGAACATCCGTGTGTGGGACATGGACGACCAAATATGCCTCCAGTCTCTCTGCGGGAAGCGGTTTGCCCTGGGAAACTGCCCGATCACCAGCGCCTACTTCCACAAGGACGACACCCTCATCTGCAGCACCTATTCAGTGAGCACTGCCCCGGGAGGGCCAGGGTCTGACCTCCCCAGGGAACCCAGGGGTGGTCACGTCACGTCCGTCCTGAGATTGTTGAAGCTGCTAGATTGTGGCCTGGCCCGTGAGACTCCACGTCTTGGGATTTCCCAAAAGACTGTTTCTAGGTCCCTGGCTGTCATCCTCTCTGTCGCTCCTGCTCTCTGTGCCTTTCCTCGCCTGTACATCCCCTGGACTCTCCCTCCAGAAGCCCACCCTGACCCCCAGGCTGGGCTAGAGATTTCCTCCACGCTCCCTCGGCCCCATGCCTTCCTTTGGTCATGGCCCTCACAGCTCTGTCCTGTCCTGCTATGTGACTGTCTTTCCTGCCAAGTCAGGAACTCCAGGAAGGCAGGGGCCACGTCTGAGCGGCCTCTCTGGAGGAGAGAGCCTGGAGGAACCTGGCAGGAAGGCCGTCTGTGAGTTAGGACTTGGCTGGTGCCCACGAGAGGTCTGCCCTGACCCTGGAGAACACGGGAGATGGGTAGCGAGTGCGAGCTGCTGCCTGTGGGGTGGAGGTGATGGGGGCCAGGGGACCGCGAGGCTGACGAATACCAGTGGACAGAGAGGTTCTGCCTAGAAAGGGGAAGAGGGTGCTGCTTGCGGTTGAGCCCCACTGAGGCCTCGTGCCGGCCGCCTGTTGACCAGGCATCCCTGGCAGGGGACATGCATGCCATCCTTGTGCACTTGACTGGCTTTTCCCCAGATTGAATGTTTCTTGAGAAGGAGGCATGTGGGTTCCTTCATCTCTTTGCTGAGTAGCAGGCAGGCCGTCAACATTTATTGAATTAAATAGACTTTTAAAGTTTGTTTCAGATTATTGAATGTTACTGACCCCCTGCCCTTTGTTGGGAGCTGAGAATATCTTAATAAGACACTGTCCCATCTCTCAAGGAACCTACAAGGTAGAAGAAAAACATATAATTTAGGTAGAAAGTGCTATGTGTTATGGTAGTTTTTATTTTATTTTATTTTTTTATTTCAGCATATTATTTCAGCATACAAATGTTTAGGTTACGTATGTTGCCTTCGCTCCCCTTCCCCACCAGAGTCAGAGCTTCCAGCGTGCCCATCCCCCATGTGGTGCACATCACACTCATTATGTATGTATATACCCATCCCCTCTTCCCCCCTCCCATCTGCCCGATGCCAGGTAAATGTTATTTCTATATGTGCATTTAGGTGTTGATCGGTGAAACCAATTTGCTGGTGAGTACATGTGGTGCTTATTTTTCCGTTCTTGGGATACTTCACTTAGTAGAATGGGTTCCAGCTCTATCCAGGAAAATACAAGAGGTGCTATATCATCATTGTTTCTTATAGCTGAATAGTACTCCATGGTATACATATACCACCTTTTATTAATCCATTCATGTATTGATGGGCACTTGGGTTGTTTCCACACCTTTGGAATTGTGTTGCTATAAACATTTGAGTGCAGATGTATTTTTTTTTTTGAGACAGAGTCTTGCTTTGTTGCCCAGGCTAGACTGAGTGCCGTGGTGTCAGCCTAGCTCACAGCAACCTCAAACTCCTGGGCTCAAACGATCCTACTGCCTCAGCCTCCCAAGTAGCTGGGACTACAGGCATGCGCCACCATGCCTGGCCAATTTTTTCTATATATATTAATTGGCCAATTAATTTCTTTCTATTTATAGTAGAGACGGGGTCTCGCTCTTGCTCAGGCTGGTTTTGAATTCCGGACCTCGAGCAATCCACCTGTCTCAGCCTCCCAGAGTGCTTACATTACAGGCATGAGCCACCGCGCCCGGCCCAGATGTCTTTTTTATACAATATCTTTTGTTCTTTTGGGTAGATGCCCAGTAATGGGATTGCTGGATCAAATGGTAGATCTACTTGTATCTCTTTAAGGTATCTCCATATTGCTTTCCCCAGGCACTAGTTTGCAGTCCCACCAATAGTGTCTGAGTGTTCCTATCTCTCTGCATCCATGCCAACATTTATTTTTTTGGGACTTTTTGATGAAGGCCATTCTCGCTCATTGTAGTTTTGATTTGCATTTCCCTGATGATTAGAGATGTTGAGCATTTTTTCATATGTTTGTTGGCCATTATTCTGTTTTCTTTTGAAAAGTCTCTGTTTATGTCCTTTGCCCACTTTTGATAGGTTGTTTGCTTTTTTCTTGCTGATTTTCCTGAGTTCTAAATAGATTCTAGTTCTCAGCTCTTTATCAGATGTGTAGCTTGCAAAAAGTTTCTCCCATTCTGTAGGTTGTCTGTTTGCTCTCGTGATAGTTTCTTTGGCTGTGCAGAAGCTTTTTGATTTGATCAGGTCCCATTAATTTATTTTTGTTGTTGCTGTGATTGCCTTTGGGATCTTCTTTATAAATTCTTTGCCTAGGCCAATGTCTAGAAAAGTATTTCCAACGTTTTCCTCTAGAATTCTAATAGTTTCTCGCACCTTAGGTTTAAGTCTGTTACCCAGTGTGAGTTGATTTTTGTGAGAGGTGAAAGGAGTGGATCCTGTTTCAGTCTTCTACATGTGGCTATCCAGTTTTCCCAGCACCATTTATTGAATAAGGATTCTTTTCCCCAGTGTATGTTTTTGTCTGCTTTGTCAAAGGTTAGATGGCTATATGAGGATGGTTTTATATCTGGGTTCTCTGTTCTGTTCCACTGGTCAATGTCCCTGTTCTTGTGCCAATACCAAGCTGTTTTAATGACTATAGCCTTGTAGTATAGTTTGAAGTCTGGTAAATTGATACCTCCCATTTTGTTTTTATTACCTAGGATTACTTTTGCTATATGGGGTCTTCTCTGGTTCCATAAAAAGCGCAAAATTATTTTTTCTATATCTGTGAAAGATGATGTTTGTATTTTAATAGGGATTGCATTGACTCTGTAGATCACTTTTTAGTGATAGTCATTTTAACAATGTTGTAGTACAGACATTTTAACAATGTTGATTCTGCCAACCCACGAGCATGGTATGGTTTTCCACCTGTTTATGTCCTCTGTTATTTCCTTCCTCTATGGTAGAGTTTTGTGCTAAGTGCTTCACAGAGCACAGAGGAATCCTTAGCCCAGCCCAAGGCAAGGGGTAGTTAGGGAAGGCTTCCTGGAGGGAACACCTGATTGAGACTTTGGCTTCTCAGAAGGTATAAAGCAAGAGGGACCTTGGACTTGGCCTTTGGAATTCTAGGAATACGAGGGTTTGGAAGGCCAATCCCAGGGAGTGGGGGCAGGGGACCAGCCCCAGGAGCCTTGCTGGGCTTAGACCTGTGCACCATCAGGATGTCTTGATGTCTTGGTTTATTGGAAGTTCCTCCTTGGGACCTCAGTCAGTGAGGGCAGAGTCTCCTGACTGCCCAGCTGTCTGTCCCTTTCTTCACCTACAGATTGGGATCCTAAAAGGATACTTGGAGGCCCAGGGGCCTATGAAAGCAGGGAAGATCACAACTCATGGCTCGTCCCTGTGCGCTGTCCTCTACAGCAGGATCTTTAAGGAGGTGAGTGGCCCAGGGCTTGCCTCCGAGACAGGCAGGAGCACCGGGTAGTGTGGCATAGGACCTGCACCTCCCGTGGGCTTGGGTGTCTGCAGTCAGCTCCTGTGGCATGTTGGGAACTCTTATGGCTTTGGTGGTGGTGCTGGCGACAGCGGGGTATAGACCAAAAGCAGCTCTGCAGGCAGGTCTGTGTGAAATCAGATCCAAGCTCTACCAATCGGTCACTGGATTGTCTGAGCCTCCTTGCTCCTGGCTGAGTGACTTAGGTCAGTTCTGGATAGGAGCCTTCTTTATGCAGAGTGTGAGATGAGACACTAGTTATGGGGTGCGCTCTGAGGTTCCCGAGTGGGTGCTGTTCTTGAGCACCACTCTGCAGGGAAGCCGTAGCTTGGCTTTGTTCACTGAGGGGAGGGAGGGAGGCCCGGCAGTAATAGCACCCTGGTCTTGAGTAGAGATCTCTGGGTTGGGCAGGGCAGCTGGGCACATGGAATTGTTTCTAGGGTGTGGGAACAGAAAGGGCTGGCAGGGCCTGTGCTCACTACTATTTGGACCTCTTGTCTTGCCTGGGCTCTGGGCAGGGCAGGCCGCACCTGCTGCAGACAAGGCTGGAGTCATCTCTGGGCTTCTCTCCCCTCCTGGCTGCTGGCACCAGCATCTCTGACTGCATTAGGGCTCTTCAATGCCTTTCAACAGGTTTTTTTTGTTGTTTGTTTATTTGGGTTTTCTGTGTTTTTTTTTTTGTTGGTTTTTTTTTAATTTCCCAGCTTTTCTGTTCTCACTAGGAGGGTTGGTCTGAAATAGACTTACCTGCTTCTGTTGTGTTATAACATTTGTAATGGCAGCAAAATGTTTCATTGAGTGCCATTACTGTCCTTTACTCTTCACATTTCCTTACTTAGGGGTAGTTTATTTCCTGGCTTTTTGTTTGGTTTGGTTTTGCTCGGTCATAATTAATGGTGCTTTAGTAAATGTCTTTTCTGAGTTAACAACTATTTTCTTTGGATGGATTTCTGAGTTAATGGGACTTCATCAAATTGTTTTCTTCTAAAAGAGCAGTGCCGTGTGCACTGCCCCATGATAGGGAAAGGCCTGTTTTCAAGAGTGCCTTGTTCTGCCACAAGGCCCTAAAAGTCGGTTTTCTCCATGCATGGAGGGCTCCGTGCGTGGAGGGGAGGGGCTGTGGCTCTTGGGAGTAGAGGCCCCGGCCCCTCCAGCAGCCCCCAGCTTCGTGCTCCCCACAGGTGGTAACTGGCTCCCTGCAAGGCTCAGTGAATGTGTGGGAGATCGTGACGGGCACGAAGCTGATGGAGTTCTCTGTGTCCGGTGCCCAGAGCGTGGAGCTGACCGCCATGGCCCTGGACGAATCACAGCGGTGCCTGCTCACAGGTTTGCGGGACGGCACGATGAAGATGTGGAACTATAACATCGGTGAATGCCTTTTGGTCTTTCCCAACCCAGACCAGCTGGAGGTCAGTCTGGCTTGGCAGCTGGAGCCAGGGAGGGCCTCTCTGAGACACAGAGCCCAGCTCCCGTGGCCCCAGGATGCACTGTTTTCTATGCCTCCCTGAAAGGCTGTGTAGCATAGTCAGGCTGCCTGCTCCAAACCTCCCTGAGCCTATGTGTCCTCATGCATGAAATGAACAGGTAACAGTGCCAGCCTTAGCTAGGTTTCCACAGGTATTAGCTACTCTTGCTTTTTAAATTTGTTAGCACTTCTCATCCCACATATTGGAGCTTTGGACTGCATTTCCAACAGTGAGGTCAGGTGATTCTGAGCCATGCGTGCTCACCCCTGTTTGAGAAATGCCTGGTAGGATTCTAGGGACAGTCCATGGGTGTGGCATAGTGCAAAGCCAGCACTCCCACTTTGGGACTTGAGCCCACTATCTTAGCCCCTATGACACAGTCCTTTAACCAACTGAGAAAGAGTACTTGGCCAAGAAGTGAGGGGTTTGAGTATTGTTTCAGATCCTATCACTCGGTGGTTATTTGACCTTAGCCAGGTCACTTGTCTGTTTCCCAGGTATCCTCTCTATAAAATGGACATGGATACCTACCCTGCCTGCCTCCCCTAAGGCTGTGAAATGAGATAATGGGATGTGGGAGCACTCTAGAAAATACAGCGTGGTATCGACTCTATGGAATGCTCTTCATCTTTGAGACATTTGACTTCTTGCTTGGTATCTTTAGGATGACATTTAGGGCCCAGAGCCATTTTCTCTGAGAAGTTTTAGAGTTCTGTTTTCTTTCAACAGATTAGTGGGATTGTCCATATGAATGAAGTGTTCTACGTAACAGGGTGGAGTAAGAGAATCACCTGTTTCATGTGAGTAGAAGCATGCGTGGTGAGCAGATAAGGGTAGCTGAACGTTCTCTTTCCAGGTGTGTTCCTCCATTCCTGGCTTACCTGGTGGTTGGAACACCAAGCAGGAAACTAGTGGTGGGTAATGACTGTTGCTTCATCTGCTCATCCATTCATTCATCCATCATTCATTGGGGCTAATATATTCTTGACTTTTTGCTAGGTGCTGGGGATGGGTATAAACAAGAATGATGGAGTCTCCATCGTCCTGGAGCATGTATTTCATCAGGGGAATGTCTTACTCTGTTTGGGCTACTGTAACAGAATACTATAGTGGTATTCTGGGTGGCTTATAAACAACAGAAATTTATTTCTCACAGTTCTGGAGACTGGGAAGTCCAAGATCAAGGGTGCTGGCAGATGTGGTGTCTGGTGAGGGCTCTCTTCTTGGCTTATAGACAGCTGTCTTCTTGCTGTAACCTTACATAGTGAAAGGGGTGAGAGATCTCTCTGGGGTGTCTTCTTCTTCTTCCTTTTTTTTTTTTTTTTTTTTTTGAGACAGAGTCTCGCTTTGTTGCCCAGGCTAGAGTGAGTGCCGTGGCATCAGCCTAGCTCACAGCAACCTCAAACTCCTGGGCTCAAGCAATCCTACTGCCTCAGCCTCCCGAGTAGCTGGGACTACAGGCATGCGACCATGCCTGGCTAATTTTTTCTATATATATTAGTTGGCCAATTAATTTCTTTCTATTTGTAGTAGAGACGGGGTCTTGCTCTTGCTCTTGCTCAGGCTGGTTTTGAACTCCTGACCTTGAGCAATCCACCTGCCTCGGCCTCCCAGAGTGCTAGGATTATAGGCGTGAACTACCGCGCCCAGCCAACAATTTGGTCTTTATTTAAAAAAATTTTTTTTGAGACAGGGTCTGGGTCTGTTGCCCCAGCTAGAGTACAGTGGCATCATCATAGCTCACTGCAACCTTTAACTCTTGGACTCAAGTGATACTCCTGCTTCAGCCTCCCAAGTAGCTGGGACTACAGGCACATACCATAACACCCAGCTAAATTTCTAGTTTTAGTAAAGACAGAGTCTCACTCTTGCTCAGGCTGGTCTTGAACTTCTGACCTCAAGCAATCCTCCTACCTTATCTCTAAAAGTGCTAGGATTTGCATTTTACTATAAGCAGTCAGGAGAAGCCAGGCCACTCCTTCAATATGTAGCTTAGAAATTTCCTCAGCCAGATTTCTAATTTCTTCTTTCACAAGTTCTACCTCCCATGAAACACTAGACCACAAACATAATTCAGCCAAGTTCTTTGCCACTTTTTAATAAGGATGGGCCTTTCTTCCAGTTTCCAGTAACATGTGCTTCATTTTCATCCAAGACTTCACCAGAATGGTCTTTACCATCCATATTTCTACCAACATTCTACTCAGGATCATTTAGGAATTCTCTAAGAAGATTGAGGCTTTCTCCACAGCTCTCTTATTTTCTTTCTGGGCCCTCACAGGAATCACTCTCAGTGGTTTGTGTGTGGCAATGTGGCCTTTCTTGGACATGCACCTCAAAACTGCTCTTGCTTCTGCTTGTCACCCAGTTCTAAAGCTGCTTGCACATTTTTAGGTATTCATTATGACAGCACCCTACTTCTGGTACCAATTTCTGTCTTAGTGCACTCAGGCTGTTGTAACAGAATACCGTGGAGTAGGTGGCTTATAACAGAGATTTATTTCTTACCGTTCAGGGGACTGGGAAGTCCTAGATGAAAGCACTGGCAAATTTGGGTCTGGTGAGGGCCTGCTTCCTGGTTCATAGATGACCATCTTTCTCACTGTACCCCTCCATGGCCGAAAAAACAAGGGATCTCTCTGGGGCCCCTTTTTATACGGGCACCAGTCCCGTTTGTGAGAGCTTTGCCCTCCTAATCTCATCGCCTCCCAAAGTCCCCACCCCCATCACCCTCACATTGAGGATTAGGTCTTAACATATGAATTTTGGGGGAACACAAATGCTCAATCTATATCTAGGAGGCAGCCACCAATCAAATAATTTCATTTATAATTATAAAGTATATTGAATGCTATGAACAACAAGTAGAGGTTTCTGGGAGTGGGTAGAAACCTGATTTCTTCTTGGGGGCACAGTCAGAAAAGGCTCAGCTAAGGGTGTTGCGGGTGGAGTATGATCCGAAGGGTGAACAGGAGAGGTCTCGGTGAAGTCCTTGGGATAGGATGTGCGTTCCAGACAGAGGGAACAGCACGTGCAAGGTTTCTTCCCTTTTAGGGGACCTTCCCCCTTCTGTGAGCCTTAATCCTTACCTAGGTATCTGAGGGTGAATTAAGATTCATTATCCATAAGGTTAGTTTATGTAAAGCACCTAGGATGGGGTCTTTATAGTTGGCACGTAGTAAGTGTTCAGTAAATGAGGCCAATGGCTTCAACCCAGCTCTGACAGCGGAGATTATCCTTCTCTGGGTGGGCTTCCAGAACCCTAAAGGCCTCAGTGTTCTCCCAGTAGAGCATGAAAGGCAGAGCTCCCAGCTCTCCTGCCTCTGGCCGTGTGCACGACAGGTTCCACAAGACCCGGCCGGTGCTCTTGTGCTACCACTGGCAGACCTTCCACACAGAGGACATCCTGAGCATGGCCAAGTACCGGAACCAGTTCCTCGGGACCTCCTCTTACAATGGGGACATCCTCTTCTGGAACACCAGCATCTTCAAGCCCATCTTCAACTTCAACGCCTCTGAGGGCCCCTTGCCCCTGCAGCCCAAGAGGGTATGGTCAGCAGGTGCACTCTCCTCTCAGCTGTGGGCCAGAATCCTGTAGGGCGTGGAGGACAGGGAGCACCCTGGAAGTAAAAGGGGCAGTGGTGACTTGTTCTGGAAGGGGTTGGGAACTAGGCAGGTAGGTTTCCCTAATTTTCCTCATTGGATAGATGAGAAAACAGACACAGAGAGGTTAAGCACCTTGCCTAAGGTCACACAGCCAACGAGGGGTAGATCTAAACTCAGGCAGTCTGGCTCCAGGGCTGATGGTGCTAGTCCTGTCCTTGTTAGTATTACGGGTTACTCATTCCTTGAAGGTGGCTCACATCTTACCTGGTGCTGTTACACATTACTGCTCTGGGCCCACCAGGCTCCTAGTAGGGGCTTAGGAAGCCCGTACAGTCTCTGAATTGCCATATTTTAGCAGATTAAAGCTGGAAGGGACCTTAGGGGTCACCTCATCCAGTGGTTTTCCAAAGGTGTTGGGGAGAGATGCTTGGAAGTTATTGTATCGGTGAGGGGGCTCTGGTAGGTGGGGCTTCCCCAGAAGAGCTCAGCTTTTTATCCATTTTATACTTCAGAGCTTCCTTTGAGGTTAAAAACAACCTCAAAAAGATTTAGGAACCACTGTCCATCTTATAGATGGGGAGATTGAGTTCCTCCTGGGAGCAGTGTCCTGCCTGCGGGCACTCAGGGCATTTACAGTTGGCCCAGGGTGGAGTCATAAGCTCTGGTCCGATGCCTTTAAGGGTGCCAGGTTTCTGGGAACAAGGCCTGGGGAGCTGGGAGGGCCCCACAGTATCAGCATAGGGCCGGATTTCCCTCCACGACATGGCGATGTCCTACGAGCTGCTCTCTTCCTGGCACAGGTGAAAGACGTGGACAGCTGCTCCGCGCCCAGCATACCCTGTGCGGAGCCGGAGAAGTGGGCATACAAGTCCCACAGGAGGTTCTCTGTGGCCAGTGCCAACCCGAGGCGGAGCCTGACGTCGTCCGTCCCAGTGATAGGACTCGAGAGAGACATGGAGCCAGACAGGCTTGTGCTGCAGCAGGTGGGAGCCAGAGCCCAAGCAGGAGGTGACCTCCCTCTCCAGCCGCCTACGTTCCTTCGTTGTGCGTTTGTTTTCTTGTGCAGAGGCACTTTTTCCATAGTGTCTGTCAGTCCAAGCCTTGCGGGCCCAGGCAGGGCACCTCCCTGTTTTAGTCCCACCGCATCTAACCCACTCTGCTGCCTCAAGCCTGGGCATGGCCCATTCCCAGAGCGTGGCGATACCAGGCCCCAAAGTCTGAAAGCTTAGAGGCAGGACCCAAAGGGAACGTAACCCTAAAAGTCTAAAATTGGATGTTAGATCCTGGGCCCCATTCTCAGTCCCCAAGCTCATATCTCCTGGCCCCAGCCCAGATGCAGACGGGAGCCATAGAGGCCTCACCTTGGAGACTAGGCTGTGAAGGTCTGAGGCCCAGATGTTGGCAAACCACTTTCCTCCTCCTCTGGGCCCCATTTCTGCCCCAGGATTAACTCTTCCTTGAATGACTGACAGTTCTGTTTTGGGGGAGCAGGGAGAAGAGCAGGAGGAACCACTCTCCCTGCTTGCAGGGGGTGGGTAGGCTTTAGGCTTGCAGCAGCGAGAACGAGGGCAGGAGGCTCCCGTGGCAGCAGAGGAGCCAGTCAGATTGTTTCCCCAGCCGACGTCTGATCCCCTTCCTGAGCCAAGGCTTGAGTGAGCAACACCGCCCCACCCAAGCACACAGTTGCCAGGCATAGCGCAGTGTAGACCTAGATCTAGCACTACCTGCCAGGACATAATTCTGCCGTTAAGATGTGTGCCCTTTACCATACAGCACTCATGCCACCTTTGAAGTGTCAGGGTCACACCCCTGCTCTCAAATCTTTTAGAGCAACGGGTACATAGGCCCCTCTGTCCTCAGTTTTAACCAGGTAGTCTCTTCCAGGACAAAGGAAGGATCTTTCCCAAAGGCAGACGCAAGCCTCTGTCTCAGAGAGCAGAATTGCTGGGAACTTAAGGTGGAGATTTCCCAGCCTCAGAGTGGCTTACAACTCAGGGCGCACCAGACACCTGCTGTGCTCCCCACAGGGCAGCTGCTTGTTTGCCATCTGCCTCTGGTATCCAGTCCCCACGGGGAAGGGAAAGAGCCTGATGGTGACCCGGGAGGCCCATTTTTCTTTCCAGAAACGTGCCAGCGCTGATGTTTTCAAGTGGTCAAGCAAGCGCCGTAGCAGACAGTCATCAACGCACGAGGCTGAAGTGAGAAAAGAGGAGCTCCAGAAGAATATGCTGCTGCGGTCCAGAGCTTCAGTGGAGAAGGTTGGCCATGCCCTGCCAGGGAGTCGGGCGTGAGCCAGGCAGCCGGCAGTCAGATGGGGCTGGGGGCCTAGGCGATGGGGTGCTTAGGGGGTGAGCAGTGTGACCCTCATGCTTGGGGGTGCTGGGCTGGGAGGTAGGAGAAGTGGCATTTCTAGAATCCACTGTTAGAATGCCCTCCTGTTACCGGGGACGGTGTTTTGTATGACATTCAAGTTGGGGGATTGGTTCACCTCCGTTCTCTGTTCCTCCCGTGCCTTACACTTCCTGACCCTGGACACCCCTTGCGGTAATAGTTACTCCCCCTCCTGCAAATACATATCATAGTTGGGGTAGGGTGTGGCAGGCCTGCCCCATCGCCCAGCTTCAGGGACCAGGGACTCGAGAGCCAGCAGCGGTGCCCCCAGAGTGGGTCCTGCAGTGCTGGGCGGAGAGCGGGGAGTGGCTGCACCTTCTCTTCTGTGAATGTTCTTCCTTCCCTTTTAAAAAGTACCTTAAAAAACTTTTAAAAGCAATAATGCTAATGCATTTAAAAGAAAGAATAGAAGTATGTGTAAAGAAAAAATAAAGGTCCCCTGTGTGTTGCTCATCCCACCCCATGCCACTCACAACTCACAGTCACTGCTAACAGATTGGTTTGAGCCTTTGTACATTTTTTAGACCAGTGACATAAAATGATAGCTGTGTCTTACCATTTGAGTTTTTTTTTTTTTTTGAGACAGAGTCTCACTTTGTTGTCCAGGCTAGAGTGAGTGCCGTGGCGTCAGCCTAGCTCACAGCAACCTCAAACTCCTGGGCTTGAGTGATCCTTCTGCCTCAGCCTCCCGAGTAGCTGGGACTACAGGCATGCGCCACCATGCCCGGCTAATTTTTTTTTTTTTTATATATATATCAGTTGGCCAATTAATTTCTTTCTATTTATAGTAGAGACGGGGTCTCGCTCTTGCTCAGGCTGGTTTTGAACTCCTGACCTTGAGCAATCCGCCCGCCTCGGCCTCCCAAGAGCTAGGATTACAGGCGTGAGCCACAGCGCCCGGCCTACCATTTGAGTTTTTATTTAAGTATATATCATGGATATGCCTTCATGTCAGTAATTTAGAGTCATCTTAGTCTTTTGTTATCTTATTCTTTTTAATAATTTCACAGTGCCCCATAATTTAGATGTATCATGAACATACAGTTAGTTCCAGGTTTTAGCTTTTAGAAGCAGCACTACACTGAGCATCCTTGTACATGCATTGTGGTGTACTAGTGCGAGTATACTGAAAGGACAGATTCTTGGAAGCAGAATTATCAACAGACCCTATCTCTTCAAATCTGTGAATCCATGATAGATGGTTCAAAACCTGACCTTTTGGGTTGGTGACCTAGTGCTGTCATGGCACAGGCATTTCCTATATGCCAAGCACTGGGAGGGAGCCATGAACAAAAGACACCAAGCCCCTGCCTTCATGGAGCTGCCATTCCAGTTGGGGCAAGACAGAAAATTAACCAGCAAGTGAAATAAAGGGCATGTCAGAGAGTGAGCAAATTGAGTGGAGAAGGCTGGGAAGAGAGCGGGAAGAACAGGCATGGGAGGTGGCAATGGTGTTGCTGTTTTAATAGGCTGGTGGGGGAGAGCTTCACAGAGGAGGCGGCATTTGCACAGAGCTTGAAGGAAATAAGGAAACATGGCCTGCAGTTATCTGGAAGGAGGGTGACCCAGGAAGAGGGAACAGCAGGCACAAAGACCATCCTGGGGAGAGCTTATATGGAGTTCAAGACAGAGCACTTCTTCTGCACCTCTGTTAAGAGGTGGTATATTACATTGATTGATTTTCATATGTTGAACCATCCTTGAATTACAGGAATAAATCCTACTTGGTCATGGTATATAATCCTTTTAATATGCTACTGAATTGGGTTTTGCTAGTATTTTTTTAGAGAATTTTTTGCATCAGTGTGTTTTCGTTTTTGTTTTGTCTTTTGGTTTAGGATGATTTATTAGGGGAACTTGCTGATAGAAGTATGGTCTTTGGTGGCCACAAGACAGGTAGATCTTCCCAACAGCAACTCCTGAGACCCAGGGCTTCTATCTTAGGGAAGAAGTATATGTGGTCTGGGAGGAATGCGTAGTGGCTAAAAGTGTCATAGCCTATTATGTATGCAGCAACATCAAGGGTTGTTTTGAAAGAAAGCGAAACTTACAGGGAATAGGCGTTCCTACATAAAGAGTAATATATCAGCTAAACACTTTGGAGGCATTCGTGGACTTGAGGTTAGTCAGGTGGATTAGTGTTTAAATAAAGTCACTTTTGTCCCCACAAATAAATTGCATAAACATTGCATTGCATAGCATAAAAGATATTAAGCAAAAAGCACTCATTCCCTTAAAAGGAGAGAGAAGGAGGACAGTGAGGCTAATGACCATCACGGCATGGCCAAATAACACAGGCTTAGTAGGTAGTTATTGGACCTCTTTGACCAATGGATCTGTGCTTTGCAGGTGTGTACCACCACTGGGTTTCACAGGCTTCGGTAAACAAAGTGATTTGCAGTTCTCTTTTACTGGGCATTCTTCTATTGCGAACCTATTTGGTGAAGAGAAGCTTGAGTTTCTCATGCACTTCCATCAACTTTATTGGAGCTGGTTTTGTACTATGGTCACCCATTTAACTTCCTTCATGATTGATTCTCTGAGAGCCAGAGGACCCTGCCTTGGACGCTCAGTGGAAGAATGCCATCTGATGTCTCCCAGTGTCTTGCACTGCGGCTCTCCTGTAGCAGAGAGGTGGAGAGGTGAGAGGCCGGGGCTCATACCGTTCCAGTGAGATGATCACTGCCTTAGGCTGCTGCCCCGACCTCTCAAAAAATGGGATCTGCCTCTGGGCTCTGGCGAGGGGAGAGGAACTGGCCCCTCAGCCGGCTGATCAGAAACATATTACACATACGGACAGGCATACACCACCATTTAGTTCAAGTGGGGATGGCTTGAGGAAGGGGAAACGTGAACGAGTTTGGCAATTTTTTTTCTTCTTTCACCCATGGATATAAAATAAGCAGATACTGTTGGATGTGGTTATTGGTTATCTTTGGATAACAAAGCAATAAAATAGGGTTTCACACAATATAAACATGGCTTTTGTTGTCAGTGAAAGCTGTTGTTGCTTGAATGATGAAAAATTGTTTCGGGTACAGGCTGTGTTCAAGATGTCAGTTATCAAGGTGCTGTTACTGCCCTAGAAGTGTGTGGCTCTGCCTTGGATCAGGTGGCTCAGCTTCCTCCAGCACTGAGCTGGAATCCATCCCTGTGGACTTTGTCTGTCTCATTTGATGGAGAGTGATAAAGGCCAGATTGACCATCCATTCAAAATGAAGCTAGAGCAGGTTAGCCAAGGAAGAGTTAACTGAACTCCAAAAGATGACCTTGATTGGGAGACAGAGACAGGAAGATCCCTTGAGGCCAGGAGTTCAAGACCTGCCTGGGCAACATAGCAAGGTCTGGTCTGTACTAAAAAATAATTTAAAAACATTAGCTGGGTGTGGTGGTGTGTGCCTGTAGTCCCAGCTACTCACTCAAGAGGCTGAGACAGGAGGGTCCCTTGAGCTCAGGAGTTCAAGTTGACCCTGGGCAACACAGCAAGACCTCATCTCTGATGATTCGTCTGGTCCCAGGCTGCGGCTTCAGTTTGCTCTGCCAGGGGGCTCCCACCTGCCAAGTGTGATGCTCTGTGTCGGATGTTCATTAGGGATATATACCAATATATATATATACACCAATATATACCTATATATCTATATCTATATATATAGATATACCAATATATATATATTCTCTGTAGTGTCTTTGTCTGGCTTTGGTATCAGGATAATGCTGGCCTTGAATGAATTAGGACGTGTTACTTCTTCAGTAATTTGGAAAAGTTTGAGAAGGATCAGTGTTTATTCTTCATTGTATGTGTGATGACTTCACCAGTGAAGCCATCAGATCCTGGTTTTTGTCCCTGGCACCTGGGCCGATGGAGAGCAGGTTGACGCAGGTTGAGCATCTCGTTTTGGACTTCTTTGCAAATAAGCATAATCAAGATTTCTTTTCACGTTGTTGGCGACATGTTTTTGGGACACATCAGCCATCACGACTTCAAGTTCTGAGTGAGCAGCAGTGAGGAAGCCTACGATCTCACCTTCCTGGCCGGACTTGCTCTACCCCCCGACCATGCTCTTGGCTTCATGCAGGGTGCCAGCAGGAAACTCTCTTCCCATGCTTGCCATGCTGGGTAGCTTCCCATGGTGGCCCCCATGTAGGCCACAGCAGTGTCATGTAAGGCAGAAGCGAGCAGAGGGGGGACTTAGCAAAGGGTTTGATCAAAGCGAGACTTGAACAAGAATTTGGTTAAAATGCTTTCTTGATGATTGGCTAGAAATTATGGGTATTTCGTGATAGATATAGATGAAGAGGAGAGTTCCTTCTCTAGATCATTTTGAGTTGAGTTACAGGCCTTGAAAAATCTTGTTTGAGCCCTACGTCAAGTCAAACTTGTGTGTCTTCATTCGGTAAACATTTATTGATCATGTCCTATGTGTCAGGCATCGTTGTAGTTACTGAGGATAAAGTAGTGAACAAAAAGACACAAATCCCTGTCCTCTATTGCTCATAGCCCAGTACGATGTTCCTTGTCACCAGCTAGGTAGGAGGGATGGAATCACCATCACCATTCTTGTTGGGTACCCAGGAACATGGGGGACCAGCGGGGTGCAGTCCCGGGTGACTGTCCCGGGTTCCCTCAGCCCTGCTGAGCCAGGCCCACCTCTGCCACGCAGATCATCTTCCTGCACACCCGGCCTCGCCACCCACACGTGGCTGCCCTGCTGAGCAGCTGCAGCGACGGCTACATCTACGCCTGGTCCATCCACGGGAGCGGAGGCCTGCTGGGGAAGTTCTCTGTGGAGCTCAACGAGTATGGTACTTTTGTCGTGGGTGCCATGGCCACTGACAAAAATGACTACATCCTCGTCACAGGGGATTCCCAAGGGCAAATCAAGGTGAGGAAAAGCTGGCATTAAGATTGAGGGGCTGGTGCCAGCCAAGCTTTTGGCCCCCTCTTGGTTGCACATGGCCTCTGTCTAGTGCCTGCTCTCTCCCTGGTTGCATTTGTAACACGATGGGGGGAAGAGGGTGGATTGCTGTAGAAGGCCTCTCCTGCTCTGTACACCCAGAGAAATGAGGGAGGGCTTGGTGCAAAAGGCCCTCCAGGAAGCCTTCCCCAGGGAATCCCATGCTCTGTCATTATCCTCTGATGACTCCCTCATCCCCAGTCATGTGGCTAATCTGCCACTAGCTGTCTCAGGAACTGATTTTGTGCCTTGTGGTAAGACACAAGGCAGGATTATCTTGTCCTTGAGCCAGTCACACCTTCTTTGCCAGCTAGCCAAGAAGTCTGGCCTAGAAGATCCCTAAGGCCCCTTCTGGCCCTGAGAGGCCAGCTATCTCAGAGATGTGGGTAAGAACGGCCCCCAGAGTGAAGAGGAATGGTTTGGGAGGAGCTCACAGAGTGAGGTGGGGTCTGGGTCAGGGGGTGCTAGGCCACTAAAATTAGCCAGGCATGGTAGTATGCACCTGTAGTCCCAGTTACTTGGGAGGCTGAAGGAGGAGGATCACTTGAACCCAGGAATTTGAGGTTGCAGTGAGCTAGGCTGATGCCACAATACTCTAGCCCAGGCAACAGAGTGAGACTCTGTCTTAAAAAGAAAAGAAAAGAAAGAAAGAAAGAATTTGCAAATGATACAACTGATAAAAGATTAATATCTAAAATATATAAGGAATACAACTTAATAGCAAGAAAACAAATAAACCAACAAAAATTGGGCAAAGGACCTGAATAGACATTTCCCAAAAGAATACATACAAATGGCCAACAGGTTCATAAAAAAATTATTAGCATCGCTAATCATTAGGAAATACAAATTTAAATACTTTGTGCCTAGATCTGGGACATCAAGGATTACTGCGTATTCACTGACCAAGGGCCATCCCAATCTGATAGGAGTAAGGGCGACTCTGAAATAGAGAACAAGTTCCGGGTCGCCATTCCTCAACGGCTTCCTCAACGGCTTGAGATCGGCGTACCACACTACATTCCCTTGGATGAGAAAGAGGTAGGAAGCTTCCTGCAAGGTTGCTCAGAAAAGTGCCCGTGAGCCCCGCTAGTGAGCGAGGACCATGGCTCTGCTACTGAGATGATGAGCTTTCACGTTTCTTGGTCATGGTTGTCTGGCTGATGTGGGAATGTCTTCGTTAACCAGAAGTCATCAATAACCAGTAAAACACAAGAATATACACGCCAAATACGCACACATGTACACGCACACACAAGCACACACCCCCTTCCATCAGCTTTGATCTTTGCAACGAGGACTCTAAAGTCATGAGTTCTTTTTAAAAATAATTAAACTATTTATGTGTTTTCTTGAATAGGCGATACATTTACATGGATCAAAAATCACTTGATATTTCCCTGATGACTAATAAAGTTGAGCATCTTTTCATTTGTTATCAGGAAAATGCATCTTCAATAAATGGCGCTGGGAAAACTGTGGATCCACATATAGAAGAATGACATTGGATACTTATCTCACACAATATACAAAAATCAACTAAGATGGATTAAAGACTTAAATATAAGATCTGAGACTATAAAACTACTGGAAGAATACACAGGGAGAAAGCTCTATGACATTGGCCTAGGCAATGATTATTTAGATACAACCCCAAAAGCACAGGCAACCAAAGCAAAAACAAATGAGACTTCATCGAACTAAAAAGCTTTTGCACAGCAAAGGAAATAATTACCAAGGTGAGAGACTTCTCACACAGTGGGAGAAAGTATTTGCAGCTGGTCGCGGTAGTTCACCCCTGTGATTCTAGCACTCTGGGAGGCTGAGATGGTAGGATTGCTTGAGGGCAAGAGTTCTAGAGCAGCCTTAGCAAGAGTGAGATCCCATCTCTAGTAAAAATAGAAAAAATTAGCCAGCCAACTAAAAATATAAACAAAAAATTAGCCAGGCATGGTAGCATGTACCTGTAGTCCCAGCTACTTGAGAGGCTGAAGGAGGAGGATCACTTGAACGCAGGAATTTGAGGTTGCAGTGAACTAGGCTGATGCCACAACACTCTAGCCCAGGCAACAGAGTGAGACTCTGTCTTAAAAAAAAAAAAAGAAAAGAAAAGAAAAGAAAAGAAAGACAGAAAGAAAGAAAGAAATAAAGAAAGAAAGAAAGAAAGAAAGAAAGAATTTGCAAATGATACATCTGATAAAGGATTAATATCTAAAATATAGGAATATCTAAGGATTAATATCTAAAATAAGGAATACAACTTAATAGCAAGAAAACAAATAAACCAACAAAAATTGGGCAAAGGACCCGAATAGACATTTCCCAAAAGAATACATACAAATGGCCAACAGGTTCATAAAAAAATTATTAGCATCACTAATCATTAGGAAATACAAATTTAAAACACAAAGAGATATCACCTCACATCTGTTAGAATAGATATTATCACAAAGATGAAATAAGTGTTGGCAAGGATGTGGAGAAAAGAAAACCCTTGTGCATGTTGGTGGGAATGTTAATTAGTACAACCACCATGAAAAACAGTATAAAGGTTCAGAAAACTTCAAATAAAACTACCATAGGATCCAGAAATCCCACTTCTGAGTATATATCCAAAGGAACTAAAACCAATATGTCAAAGGGATTTCTACACTCCCATGTTGATTGCAGCATCACTCACAGTAGCTAAGATATAGAATCAACCTAAGTGGCCATCAGTGGATAAATGGATAAAGAAAATGTGGTATATATACACAATAGAAAACTATTTGGCCTTAAAAAAGGAAGAAACTCTTGTTATTTGGGACAATATGGATGAACCTGGGAACCATATTGCTAAGTGCAATAAGCCAGGCACAGAGAAACAAATACTGCATGATCTCACTTACACATGGAATCTAAAATGCCAACCCAGAGAAGTAGAGAATAGAACGATGCTTACCTAAGGTCCTGAACAAGTTAGTGTGGATATGTCGAGAGCTAGGACTCTAGCCTGTGTCCCAGGGCCCCTCCAACCAGGCTCTGCCACCTCAGTCCTGTGTTCCCTCTGATGCGCCTTGTATGGTGGTCATGGTATAAGTAATTCTCCTATTCTGTCCTTTCTAGGTTGTGGCTGGCCATACCATTTCTCTGGTTCCCCCCAAGCTCCTGATTACCTGGAATGGCCATTTGGATAGTGTGACAGATATCCTGTATGTGGACAGCTTCCAGCTGGTTATCAGTGCTGGCCAGGACCGGAACGTCAAGGCTTGGAAACTCTCCGGTGATGCCATTGGTATGTGTCCTGCTGAAGCTCAGCTATGCCCTGTGGCCCTTCTTGTCCCTGGCCCTGTTCGAATGTAAACTGGCATGAACCTTACATGCTGTGGGGAGGGGGTGTCAGGCCACAGCAGCTGCCTTTGCTCAGACAGTCTTACAGGATGTGAGTCTGCCCAGTTGTACAGTCTGTCCATTCATCCATCAGCTACTCAACCATTTACCCATCCACCCAACATTGTTTGCCTTTGTATAGTTTTGTAGATCATATATCTGATAAGGTATATTCCTCTTTAATAAAAAATAAACTTAATTGTTATATTATACATAAAGAAAAATGCACAAACCAGAAGAGTTCAGATTGATGAATTTTCAGAAGGCAAAATTATACTCATATAGTCACCATCCATATCAAGGAACAATTAGTATGGCCACCATGGAAAACAGTATGGAGGTTCCTCAAAAAATTAAAAATAGAACTACTACACAATCCAGCAATCCCACTGCTGGGTATATATCCAAAGGAAATGAAATCAATATGTCAAAGAGGTATCTGCACTCTAATGTTTATTGTAGCACTATTTAGAATAGCCAAGAGATGGAATCAACCCAGTTGTCCAACAATGCATGAATGGATAAAGAAAATGTGGTGTCTATACTCAGTGCAGTACTACTCAACTATAAAAAAGAATGAAATTGTGTCATCTGAGACAACATAAATGGACCTGGAGGACGTCATGCTAAGTGAAATAAGCCAGGCACAGAAAGACAAACACACGATCTCAGTTGTATGTGGGAGCTAAAAATAAAGAGAGAGAGAGAGAATTGATGCTGTGGATGTCACAGAAGTAGAGTAGAACAGTGGTTACCAGAGACTGGGGAGGAGAGGGAGGAGAAGAGGATGGGGAGATTTTGGTCAACTGGTGCAAAGAATAGATAGGAGGAAAATAATTCAATTATTCTGATGTTTTATAGCACAGAGTGGTGAAGATCGTTAACAGTAAGGTATTGTATATAACAAAATAGCTGGAAGAAAGGCTTTTTGAATGTTCTTACCATAAAGAAATGATAAATGCAAGAGTAATGGGTATGCCAAATACCTTGATTTGATCATTATATGATATATATGTATCAAAACATCAAATTGTACCCCTATAAATGCGTGCAGTCCCAGTGTGTCAATTAAAAAAACTGAAACCAATACTCTAGGGATCCCCCGTGTGCCCCTCACTCTGACCACTACATTTGTTATGTAGCAGATCTCTAGAACTTTCACATCTTGCATGACTGAAACTATACCTACTCAACTGCAGCTCCCATTTCCCTCCCTCCAGTCCCTGGCAACCAGCATTTCTAAGAGTTTGATTACCATAGATTCACAATGTTCTTAAGGTTCATCCATGTTCTAGCATATGACAATGTTGCCTTCTTTTTAAAGGCTGAATATTCCATTGTATGTGCACAATACATTCTTTTTACCCATTCTTCCGTTGATGGACATTTAGGTTGTTTTCACCTCTTGGATATTGTGAATAATGCTGCAGTGAACATGGGAGTACAAATATCTCTTTGCCATCCTGTTTTTTTTTGAAATAGTCTCACTCTGTAGCCAGGGCTAGAGTGCCATGACATCAGGCTAGCTCACAGCAACCTCAAATTCCTGGGCTCAAGCAATCCTCCTGCATCAGCCTCCTGAGTAGTTGGGACTACAGGCATGCGCCACCATGCCCAACTAATTATATATATATATAGGCCAATTAATTTCTTTCTATATATATATATATATATATAATTAGTTGTCCAGCTAATTTCTATTTTTTTTAGTAGAGATAGGGTCTCGCTCTTGCTCGGGCTGGTCTCGAACTCCTGAACTCAAACAATCTGCCCGCCTCGGTCTCCCCGAGTGCTAGGATTACAGGTGTGAGCCACCACACCTGACCTGTGATCCTGTTTTCAATTATTTTGAGTAGATACCTAGTAGGGGATTCCTGAATCATATGGTAGTTCTATTGTTAATTTTTTGAGGAACTCTCATACTGTTTTCAGTAGTAGCTGCACCATTTTATATTCCCATCATCAATGCACAAGGATTTCAATTTCTTGAAGTCTTCACCAATACTTGTTATTTTCTGTTTCTCTGATAGTAGCCATTGTAATTGGTATGAAGTGATACCTCATTGTGGTTTTGATTTGCATTTCTCTGATGATTAGTGATGTTGAGCGTCTTTTCATATACCTGTTGGCCATTTGTATGTCTTCTTTAAAGGAATGTCTAAGTCCTTTGCCCATTTTAAAATCAAATTATTTATTAACAAATAAAATTTGTTTGTTATTGAGTTGTAGGAGTTACTTATATATTTTGAATATTAACCCGTTATCACATATATGGTGTATATTTGCAAGATATTTTCTCCAATTCCATAGGTTGCCTTTTCACTCTGTTGATTGTTTCCTTTGCTGCTCAAAAACTTTGATTTTATGTAGTCCCACTTGTCTAGTTTTGCTTTTGTTGCTTGTGCTTTTGGTGTCATATACAAGAAATCATTGCCAAGGCCAAGGTTAGGAAATGTTTCTTCTATGTTTTTGTCTAGTTTTATAGTTTCAGGTCTTACGTTGAAGTCTTTAATACATTTTAAGTTGATTTTTGTGTGGTGTAAGGTAAGAGTCCAATTTCATTCTTTTGCATGTAGAAATTCTGTTTTCCATACCATTTAAGAAACTATCTTTTCCCTATTGCATAGTCTTGGTGCCTTTGTCAAAGGTCATTTGACCATATATGTGGGTAGGTTTATTTCTGAGTCTTTATTCTGTTCCATTGGTCTATGTGTCTGTCTTTATGTCAGTACCATACTGTTTTAATTACTGTAGCTTTGTAATAAATTTTTAAGTTGGGAAGTATAAGGTTTTCAGCTTTGTTCTTCTTCTCAAGATTGTTTTGGCTATTTGGGATTCTTTGTGATTCCATATAAATTTTAGAATTGTTTTTCCTATTTATGTAAAAAATGCTATCGGGATTTTGGTAGGGATTTGGTAAATCACTTTGGGTAGTATGAACCTTTTGACAATATTAAGTTTTCTAAACCATGAACAAAGGATATCTTTCCATTTATTTGTGTCTTCTTTAATTTCTTTCATCAGTGTCTTAAATTTTTCAGGATACAAGTCTTTTGCCTCCTTGGTTAAGTTTATTCTTAAGTATTTTATTCTTTTTGATGATTTTATAAATGGGATTGTTTTCTTAATTTCCTATTTGGCTTGATCATTGTTAGTGTAGAGAAATCCAACTGATTTTTGTGGATTGATTTTGTATCTTGCAATTTTGTTGACTTTGTTAGCCCTAACAATTTTTTAAAAATCTTTATGGTTTTCTACATGCAAGATCATGCCATCTGTAAACAGAGATAATTTTACTTCTTCCTGTCTGATTTGGATGCCTTTTATTTCTTTTTCTTGCCTAAATACTCTAGCTAGGTCTTACAGTACTTTTTTGAATAGAAGTGACAAGAATAGGCATTCTTGCTTTGTTCCTGATTTTATAGGAAAACATTCAGTTTTTCACTGTTGAGTATTATGCTAGCTTTGGGCATTCCTATATGGCCTTTAGTATCCTGAGGTAATTTCCTTCTATTCCTAATTTGTTCAGTGGTTATTTTTTTCTATTTATATAAAGTTTTTTTTTTTTTTTTTGAGACAGAGTCTCACTTTATTGCCCAGGCTAGAGTGAGTGCCGTAGCGTCAGTCTAGCTCACAGCAACCTCAAACTCCTGGGCTCAAGCAATCCTCCTGCCTCAGCCTCCCAAGTAGCTGGGACTACAGGCATGTGCCACCATGCCCGGCTAATTTTTTTTTTTTTTTTGTATATATATATTAGTTGGCCAATTAATTTCTTTCTATTTATAGTAGAGACGGGGTCTCACTCTTGCTCAGGCTGGTTTCGAACTCCTGACCTCGAGCAATCCGCCCGCCTCGGCCTCCCAGAGAGCTAGGATTACAGGCGTGAGCCACCGCGCCCGGCCAAGTTTTTTTTTTTATTTCAGCATATTATGGGGGTACAAATGTTAAGGTTACGTAGTGTTTTTATCATGAGATGACATTGAATTTTGTCAAATGCATTTGCTGCAGCAACTGAGGTGATCATGTGGCTTTTATCATTTGTTCTATTAATGTTGTGTATAACATTGATTGATTTTTGTACATGCAACATGCTTGTATCCCAGCAATAAATCCCACTTGGTTATGATGTATAATCTTTTCACTGTGTTATTGAATTCTGTTTGCTAGTATTTTGTTGAGGATTTTTGCATCTCTATTTATCAGGGATATTGACCCATAGTTTTTATTTTTTTATAGTATCTTTATCTGCTTTAATATCAGGGTAATGCTGGCCTCATAAAATGGGTTCGGAAATGTTCCCCTTTCTTTAATTTTTTGGAAGGGTTGGAGAGGGACTGGCATTAGTTCTTCTTTAAATGTTTGGTAGAATTTTCCAGTGTCTCCACCTGTTCCTGGGTTTTTTATTACTGATTAAATCTCCTTACTATTTATATGTCTATTCAGAATTTCTATTTCTTCATAATTAATTCTTGGGAGGTTGTATGCTTCTAGGAATTTATCCATTTTTTCTAGGTTATCCAATTTGTTGGCATATAATTGTTCATAGCAGTCTCTTATGAGTCTTTGTATTTCTCTGGCATCAGTTCATGTCTTCTCTTTCATTTATGATTTTATTTATTTGAATCTTCTTTTTTATTCCTAGCTGAATGTTTGTCAATTTTGTTGATCTTTAAAAAAAAATAGCTCTTAGTTTTACTGACTTTTTTGTATTGTTTTTCTTCTATTTATTCATTTATTTATTTTTTCAGGCAGAGTCTCACTTGGGTAGAGTGCAGTGTTATCATCACAGCTCACTTTCCATTTCAAACTTCTGGGCTCAAGCAATCCTCCTGCCTCAACCTCCCAAGTAGCTGGGACTATAGGCACATAACACCATGCCTGGCTAATTTTTTCTATTTTTAGTTGAGATAGCGTCTTGCTCTTGCTCAGGCAGATCTCGAACTCCTGAACTCCAGCAGTCCTCCCGCCTTGGCCTCCCAGAGTGCTAGGATTACAGGTGTGAGCCATCATGCCTGGCCACTATTTTGTTTATTTATACTCTAACTTTTATTATTTCCTTCCCTCTGTTAACTTTGGGCTTAGTTTGTTCTTCTAGTTTCTTGAGGTGTAAAGTTAGATTGTTTGAGATTTTTCTTCTTTTTAAATGTCAGCATTTACTATGATAAACTTATTTCTTAGTATTGCTTTTTGCTGCATCCCATACATTTTGGTTGTTATGTTTTCAGTTTCATTTGTCTCAAGATATTTTCTAATTTCTCTTTTGATTTCTTTGACATGTTGATTGTTTAAGGATACATTGTTTAATTTCCACGTTCTTGTGAATTTTCCAGTTTTCTTTTTGCTATTGATTTTTAGTTTCATTCCATTGTGTCAGAGAAAGTCTTTATTACCCCCTCAAAGGACTTCCCCCAGGAGTCCCTTGAGCTTCTTGTACCTGAATGTCTAGATTTCTAGCAAGGCCAGGGAAATTTTCCTCCATTATTCCCTCAAATAGGTTTTCCAACCCGTGTGTATTTTCTTCTTCTCCCTCAGGGATGCCTTGGATTTTTATGTTAGGCCTCTTTACATCATCCCATATTTCTTATAAGCTTTGTTTTTCCTCTTATTTCTGTTTTGTCTCTTCAACTGACTTGTTCAATTCAAAGGTATTGTCTTCTAGCTCTGAGATTCTTTCTTCTATCTGATCTAACCTATTCTTAAGGCTTTCCACTATGTTTTGTATTTCCTTGAAGGAATTTTTCTTTTCCAGAAATTCTGTTTGATTTTTCTTTGATAATTCCATTTCTTTAGTGAAATTTTCATTCATTTCCTGCATTGTTTTTGTGGTTTCTTTGTGTTGGGTTCCTATGTTCTCTTGTATTTCATTGAGCTTCCTTACAATGAAAGTAAGCTCCCTGCCTCTGCGCAAAGCCCACCAGGGAGGGGCTGAAGTGGCCCCACTAGGCCAGAAAGTCTGCGTGTGGAGGCAGGGCTGTCTGAGACCTACAGTCTAGAGCAAGTCTTGCTCCTCCTCACCCTCCCCTATCCTGTGATTTACCCCCAGTGACTGCTGGCAGACAGGACCTCAAGCCAGCTGAGCTCCCTCATGACTGTGATGTGGGCTGGGAGGTTCCCTGCCCAGGATCCCTGCCTGAGCTGGGAGTGTGGTCCTCCTGTGGGAGGAGGGGTGCCCCATGAGCACCCTGCAGCTAGGACTCACACTGCACTCTCCCCCCGATCTGCCCCTGTGGGCACCCACGCATCCTGAGATTCATTCACAAATATCTCCTCCGGGCCTCTGGCCAACATGATCAAGACCTGGGGGTACTCCACCTGGCCTGTGTGTCCATCCCTGGGGCCCTGGAGATCATCCCTGACCATGCCAGGGAGAAGTGTGTTGGTCCCAAATTGCCCATCGGGTGCCCTTTGCCTCAGGTGTGCCCCATTCTGATGGGGTCACCCGGCAAGCAGCACTAGGGAGGGCTGGTGGGCAGGGAGCTCACAAATTGAGCACCCCTTGGCTCACTGCTGGACTCCAAAAGGAAAGGTCTGAGCCCTGCTCTCTGTGGAAGCCTCTGTGTGGTGGCTCAGTTGTCTCTCTTGGGAGCCACAGGTTGGGGAAGGGAAGGGGAAAAAGAGTCTGGATGTAGGAAACCTAGCCCTCTGGTCCTGTCTGCCCCTCTCTCCTGGAGACAGTCTCCCCAGAATGACCAGGCTCTGGAGTCACACACCACCTGGGACCCATTGGACCCCTGTGGCTCCTGCAGGCTGGGCTGGAGTTGGGAAATGTCTGTGTGGGAATGAACCAGAGGAAACTGAGGAGTTGAAGCCCCGTGGGGAGGACACAGTCAATTGTTTTGTTGGTGCACAGAAATTTCTAAGTTTAATGTCTATTTTTGCTTTTGTTGCCTGTGCTTTTAGTGGGTAATTTTGAATTTTTCTCATCTAATTTTCTAAGAAAGACTAAAGTTAATGTCTTTACCTTCTCTTGAACAAGATAAGGATCTGCATAAGCAAGCTTTAACTTATTTTAACTCCCCTCTCTTATGTAACATATGTTGAACTCCCTCCTCCTGCCTTCCATATCTTTACTGTCTAACATTTTAGTTCTACCTTGTTCTTGATTTCAGGTATTGTATTTTTCAGTATTAGAATGCCCATTTGATTCTTTCCTATAGATTGCAATTCTCTGTTGAAATCTTTATTCCATCCCCCATTTTATTCATGTTTTCCTTAATTTTATTTAACATTATTTATAATAGTTTTTAGATGTTTTTAATCTGCTAACTCTAATGTCTGAATCATCTGAAGAGTCTGCTTCTTATGCCTATTTTTTCTTTTGATTATCGGTTATATTTGCCTGCCTTTTCACATGTCTTATATGTAAAACAACAACGAAAACCCTTTTCTGGACTTTGTATAAAAGAACTGTAGAGACTGAAGTTGATATTATTTCCTCCCAGAGCATTTGCTCTTTCCTCTGTTTGGGGGTGATCACCTCAATCCAAGCAGGCATTGAGCTGGGTTGGGTCTGGGCTGCAGCTTTAGGGAGACTGAGTTTGCCTCTGTCGTGTCACAGTGAAGTTTGTTGTGTTTGTTGCAGATCTCTTCAGCGGGACTTTGTCTCCCAGTGAGCTCATTCTGCTTTTCTGGCCCAAGCCCTCTAACCCATGCCTCCCCAGTGCTCAGCAGATGTCCTAGCAGGAAGAGTGGCTGTGCGTCTAGGACTCCACTAGACTAATAAACCCATCATGCCAGCCACGGTGGCTGTCAGAAGCTCTGCTTGTTTCTCCTCTAAGCCAACCCCGATTCTTATTCAGCCTGTGCCCAGACTCAGGCATGCCCCCCAGCCAAGAAAGCAGCTCCCAATCTCAGTTCTTCTTGGAAAGACTCTTCCTCTTCTGTAATTTAGTCCTTCCAATCCTCTTTGCATCTACGGCTGTCCAATGATTTTTTTTTAAAAATGATTTTGTTATCTGTTTTATTTTTCTTAAATTTGAAAACTCTGCAGCAGGAGACTAGCCCATGACTCACTCTTCCCTACTCAGAAACCGGACTCAAGTTTCGCTATGTTCACTACCTGCTTTCTACTCCAGTCCCGTTCCTCTCCACCCCCACCCCAAATTCACCTTTGATGGGTGTCTGGCCATTTTATGCTGTTGCCATTTTATACCTGAGCTACCTGAAGCCCACCTGAGGATCATTCGGTCAATGCCCCAGTACTCTCCCATCTCATCCCACCTGTGGGCAGGCTGCTTCAGGCCTGAGCTCCAGGCGCATCCTAGGGCTAGCGTGTGGTTCACGCAGGTATTTGTTGCATACCCAGCGTAATACCTGGCAGATGGCGGGCACTTGGTATTCGGGTGAGTGTGTGGGCTGGGGGTAGGAGGCTGCTGGCTGACACTTGAGGGCGGAGGGTAAGGGGCAGAAGGTTCAGAGGAGAAGGTTACGCCTTCCTTGTTCTGAGCAGGGTCTGGTCAAATCACAGGAACCTTTGGCCTGAGTATGTGGAAAATACTCCATGACACCCCTAGTGGTCTTCGAGAACAAACAGCAAGCAAAGAGAAGGCCGACTCCACAGGCACTGCCCAGAAGGCCTCCCACCTGCAGCTGCCGTGAGTTGGCACAGCGCACCTGATCTTCTCTGGCCGGAGGAGGGAGATGCCATGAGCCTCGCCAGGCTCTAGGAACCCTCTGCCTGGGTTGGGGAGAGCTGGCCACGGTTGGGGAGGGCCCCCGGAAGGCCAGACTCTTGGGACCTGCAGGCAGCTTGACGTCACAGGTGGCAGCTGTGGCAAGAGAGCCTAAGGCCTGGTTCCAGCCCAGCTCAGCTGAAAGACTGAGCAGTGAAAGGGGAAAATACAAAAACTCAAGTGCTCAGATGGGGCCCTGCCCCTGCCCCAGGCTCAGATTCACCAGGGCCATCTTCCCCGCAGAGGCCATTTCTACACGTCCAGGGGATTGCCTGGGACCCATGGCCACGGCTCTGGTCCTGAGCAGACATTTGTGTTACTTCCCTGATCCACAGGGAGGAGCAGGCGGCTCGTTACTTGTTCCTCCCCATCTAGGTTTCTCCCCTACCCACTCCATCCTTATTCCTGACCCAAGTCTCAAGTAATTTTGGTTCATTCAAAACAAAATTTATTGAGATCCTGCTGACTGCTAGACCTTGCGCTAGGTTCTAGAGATCCAAGACATTCCAGACAGGTCCTGCCTCACAGAGCTCACAGTTCACTCGGGGAGATGGACATGCAAACTCGTGACTGCAGCTCTATGTGATAAGTGTTGGGAGCATTAGGAGAATAGAGATGACTCAGAGGACAATCTACCTGATTGAGGGGGTCAAGTAAGGAAGGTTTCACAGGAGAGGAGATTTTAGATTGGGTTTTGACATGTAAGAAGGAGTTTGCCAGGCACCTACAGAATCTTTGTGGTTCTTGACATTCCTGTGGGGGGGATATGAGACAAAGGTAGGGCTTCTCTGAGGGAGGGGGTGGGGGATATTTAAATATTCCACAAGGAGTCAAAGTAAGGCCAGAACACTGTCAGGTCTCCAAGGAGGAAAGCACAGGTGGTGGAAGAGTGGCAGGGCTTGCTGGGCCAACCGAACCTGGGCTTTGCCAACGTTAATTACACACTCGCTCAGTGAGAGGCCCTGGGAGGGGGCTGGCCTCAGGGAGGGATAAAATTGGAGGGGATCAGGCCCTTGCAGGGTGGCAGGTGGAGGGGACACCACGTGAAGGAACACCCCTCATGCTAGGGAGGAGAGGGACGCCGCTGAGGCCCAGGCACTCCCACGGCAGGAGCAGGAGGCACTGCTGGCCCTCCTGAACGCGAAAGCAAATGAGGCGGAGGCTGGGGCCAAGCTGCAGAAGCCGGCCCCGATGTCCCCAGAGGCTGAAGAGAGCTCCCCGGAAGACATCGAGGAGAGCTGGAATAAGTGGGAGTCGCAGGGCAGGCAGGTGAGGCTGGGGGAGCGTGGGGGTGGGCAGAGTGGCTCCCCTGTCCCCCACGGCTTACTCCGGGCATGACCCCTGCAGGTGAGCATAGTGTTGGGAATGGCATACAAGCCCAGGAAGCGGGGGCTCAACACCAGGCTCCTGTCCACTCAAGTGCAGTACGGCTTGATGAAGCAGCAGGTGAGGCGGGCCAGGCTGCTCCCTGAGGGCTGGGTGCTGGGCCTGGTGTCCAGTGGGCATGGCCCATGGGCTGTGGTCATCAGTGACAGCCACAGTACTCTGGCGACTTCTCCTTTTGCACGGGAAGACCTCCGGGCCCTCCCTTCCTGTGAGCCTGCCCTTGGTCCTGGGCGCCCTTGGCTCCAGCGGTGCCCGCGCCCCTGCTCTGTCCCTGCAGATCTCGCCGCAGATCTACCAGAGCCTGTACTTCGCTGAATTGATGCCCACCCAGCAGCTCAGCTTCCCGGCCAGCAGGGGCCTACGTGTCTGCCTGCCGGCCCCTGACACCCAGAAGGACCTGGAGCCTGGCGGGGAGCTGGTGGCGATGGAGACCTCGGCCTACATGCTCCCTGTCACCTCCTCCCCCTCTTCCCTTCTGTCCCCGACAGCCTCAGCCTCCAGGTTGCCGGACTCCACCTTGCCCACCTTCCTCAGGCCCCAGTCCTCCAGCCTCCCGCTGCACCCCTGGTTGGCCTCCAGGGCCCAGTCCACATACTCGGTCCCCTCCCCAGTGTCTGAGCCCGCCCTGAAGAGCTCGGAGAGCTCCGTGCCCGTTGCCGCCTCCCCCAAGCAGCTCCCAAGGCCTCCGAAGGCCGCCTTCACGTCCGCCGTGGACAAGGGCCCCTACAGCAGGTTCTGAGGCGCCCGGCCTCCTCTCTGTCCTCCAGCAGGGCGCCCAGGCCTGTGGGGTCCTGCACATGCCTGGCTTAGGCCCTGCTAGGCCCAGAGGGTGTGTCCCCCCACCCCCCATTACCCCCGTCTGCCCGTCTCTGCCCGTTTTTTCTCTGCCTTCGAGCTGGAGTCCTGGAGAAGAGAATAAATTTTCTCAGATGTGGGAGTCCCACAGGTGATGAGATTGGGCTGAGTGTGCCTTGCTGTCTTAGGTCCCCACTTATCCCTGGGATCGACCCTGGACAGAGGCAGGGAGGAGGGCCCCTCCCCTGGGACATGTGGGTGCAGCTGGCTGAAGCCTGGGGTGGGGGCTTTGGAGGCCCCGTGCTGATGTGGGCAGGCCACACTTCTGGGGCAGCTTGGTTCTCTTGGGGCCTCTTGGTTTCTTGCTGCCTCTGGGCCTCACAGCAGTCCAGAGGGGCGGATTGGGAGGACTCCTACAGCTCCTCAGGCACAGAACCCTCCCCAGGGTGTCTGTGGCCTGGCGGGGGGTGACTGGGGGCTGCTGGAGCCCTGACTTTCAGAGCCCCGGCAAAGCCACCCCTGCCATGAGCCGGGCTGCTGGCAGGCGTGGTCTGTGAGCTGGGGCTGCCCCTTCCCTGGCAGAACCATCAGAGCCCAGTTCTGGACAATGGTCCTGCCCTGGCAGGCGGGCAGGAAATGGCAGAGCTGTGTGTCACACGGCTCACCTAGCGCCAGCGTTCAGTGACGCCCATTTGGGACAGTTACATGGATGTTCCGCCACACTCCGCCTCCAGGCCTGCAGTGGGGCGCCGGGGCCCACACACATTGGGGAGTCGCAGGGCGTGAGTGCCTGAAGGCCCCCCAGGCTCAGCTGGTCTAACCCTGTCATGATGTGTTTATTTTTTAATGGGAAACTGAGGCCCAGAGAGGGGCTTCATAGGGTCACAAAGTAAGTTAGTGGTGGAGGCCTGTCTGTGGAGCCCACCGGGGCAGGGACTCCAGGGATCAGCTGGGGCTCGGGCTGGGGAAGGCTGGGGACACCTCTGGCCCTTGGGTTTTCAAGCTGGGTCTGCTCGAGTCCCCTTACCCCCACAACAGCCCCTGCACAGAAGCCTGCCACCCGCAGCTAGCGTGGGGTCTGTGCGAGGCGGCGGTGGGGGAGGGCAACTGCGCTCTGCTTCCCAGATACCCACCCCGTCCTCGCACTGAGAGGTCCTGGGGCCTCCTTTCGAGCAGCCCCAGGGCCTGGGGGCTCTCCCGGCACCTCGTGGGTTTGTGGGGCTTAAAGCTTACACAACATTCCCTTAAGAAAACTAATCTGCAACGACAGGCACAAAAAACAGACTCCGGTCTTATCAGGGCCCCAAAGCTTAAGCCTCATTAGCTGACCAGGAAATCCCAGCCTGGCAGCCTCCTTGTTTTTCACTTCACAACAAACATACATTAAGTGCCTTCTGGTCTAGAAAATTCTTCCTCACAGTGGAGCTGAAAATGACGCCCATCTGGGGCCCAGGATGGGCTGGGCCGAGAGGCTCAAGGCTGTGTCCCTGGGGTTCCAGGTCCTGCGTTTGCCCTGAGCAGGAGGCGCTGGGACCAGGGACAGTGTGCTCAGGGTGGGGGCACAGGGGTGAGGGGCCACTGGCCGGGGCCAAGCAGACCCCCGCAGGCCTCCCCTGCCCTGCCCTGCCTGCACAAAGCCGCTTCTCAGCTGGGACTTCTGCCCTTGCATGCTAGGCTCCAAGATGGCCCCTAAACGCTGGTTACAAAGTACCACACACTGGGTGGCCTTCAACACAGAAATCTATCACTTCACAGTTCCCAGGCCACATCCAAAATCAAAGTTTCAGCAGGGCCACCTTGAAGCCCATAAGGGAGAATCTGTCCTTGGCTCCTCCAGGTGCTGGCTTTGCCGGCAATCTCTGCTTGCTGTTCCTTGGCGTGTGGACGCGTCCCCAAGCTCTGCCTCCGTTGTCACGTGCCATCCTCTACATGAGTCTTCCTGATGTCTTTGGTACGGACACTAGGCATGTCGGAGTAAGGGCCTGTCCTGCTCCAGCACGACCTCATCTTCACTAATGACTTCGGCAACGGCCCTATTTCCAAATCAGGTCACTTTCTGAGGTACCGAGGGTTAGGACCCCCACATGTCCTTTAGGAGGACACAGGTCAGCCTGTTGTAGCCCTCTAGGAGCAGAGGAGAGGCCACACTGGAGATGTTTCCAGTTTCTAAAGCTGGCACCTGAGGCCAATGTCCATGGCTGGGTGTGGCCAGGGACAGGGGGTGGGACTCAGACCATACAGATTTGGAAGTGCGTCGTCGGACCGGGGCGAAGTCACAACTGGGATTGGAAAGGACACCAAGACGGCAGGGCATGGGCAGCTGTGGCCATTCTCAGAGGGGCTAGGCACGTGCTTCCTCCAGCCCAGGGTGTATTTCCAAGCCCTCTCTTGCCCACGAGCTCCTTGGAACAGGCTGGTGGCCTTCCTAGGCATTTGCTCCACTTCACAGCGGGGCAAACTGGCGCTCAGGGAGGGATAAGGGTTCGCAGCTGGAAACTGGTGGAGCTAGGATTTGAACCCAGGTTTTTCTGAGCCAGAGCCCTCTGATCCTTCTGCTGTGGCCTGCTCTGGGCAGCATCTCAGGACGAGAACTCAGGAAGTGGGGAGGCACATAGGGTACGTGGTGAAGGTGGCAGTGGGGCAAGGCCAGGCTTGGGGCCACCCTCGATCTGCCCAGAGGCTGTGGGGAGAGCATGGGCCATGGCTGTCCCCAGGAATTGGGGGGTTTTCTTAAAGGCCTCTGTACAGCCCTGAGCTGGAGGGTGATCAGGGTTTCCTTTAGAGACCAAGGTCATGACTCAGTGGCCATCTGGCTGGACACTAGTGGCAAGGGCAGGCCAAGCTGTCCCAAACCTCCACCTGGCCCTGAGGCTCTGTGAGCCCTTCCCTCGATGGACCTAGCCCCATTACAATAACCTCTCACTGCGTTTCCCTACACCTTTTAGTTCTGGCATGTTGTAGGCACTTAAGAAATAATTGTACAGTCTGAGTGTCACCGCCTGTCCCTCGCCACACCCGACTGTGGAGATTGGCCTCAGGTGCCAGAGCATGCAGGCGGCCTCCCAGGCAGCAGGTGCCCAAGACGCAGCCCTCACAAGCCCCAGAGGGCAGACAGGGCTGAGCTCCACCAACAGTGACACGAGTGGCCCTGTCTGTCCCGTGGCCCATGCTCAGCTACCTGGGATGTTGGGCAGGGAGCTCCAGAGCGCCTCGGTCAGAAGGAGCTTAGAACCCAGATGGGGAAATGAAGGCCAGCATCACACGCGCAGCTGGCATGTGAGGACCTCGGGCTGGAGGGCTTGTCGCCCGCCTCGGCTGTGCGTCCCAGCGCCCACACGCCCTCCCAGCTGCTGTCCCCGGCTCCCCGGGCCCCGGCTCCTCTCTGTCCTCTGCCTTTTGCACCAGTGGCCTTAAAACCTACTTAGATTTAGCTCTTTTCTGATTCTAAAAGTAGCACAGGCTGAGAATAGAAAATTAGGAAAATAATAGAAAAGCACAAAGGCCAATAAAAACCACTGGGATCCTATCACCCAGAGACCAGGTCGGTGCATTTTCTCCTAGACCTTCCTCTGTTCCTCCGCGAACTCACGCACATGCCACACACGCCCGCTCGCTCGCACGCGCACACACTCACGCTCACAGCCGCTGCCCAGGCCGGGCCTCCTCCAGGGGCTGGAGCCTCCGCCAGGCTGCCCTGAACGGCGCGGGGAGACACGTCTCCTGTTTGCGCCTACCCACGCGCCACGGAGCAAGCGGCCATTCACCTCCAGTGGGGCGGAGCCCGTCCTGGCTGGCTGAGGGTGGGTGTCCCTCCCCCAGGACAGGGGACCTGAGGGCACCCAGGGGAGTGTGGGGACAGCTTTGTCCTCAGAAGTCATCGTTGACCATGTTTTCTGGGCACCTCTTCCAGGTTTCACACTTGCCCAGCACTGAGCTGTCTCAGGCGCTGGGGACGGCAGGGGAAGGAAGTCCTGGCCTTTTCGTCGGGGACACAGACCACTCCCTCACAGTGTGAGTGCGTCTTCCCGAGTTTATCGCAAGGCTGTCTGCCTTGAGCGCACCCTCCTCCGTGCCAGGCGTCAGACATCTGGAGGCGAGGCAGGCAGATCTCACGGGAGAGGGGCGGGTGCTGGAGAGCAATCTGAGACGGCTGCCTGGAGGAGGGGGTCTCTAAGCCCAGCGGGACCTTTGTGTTTGCTGTTCTGTGCCTGAGAAGGTCTCCCCCAGGGGGAACGGCCTCTCCCCCGTGCTCTGTACCCTCAAATGCCCTGCTACCCTGTGCTCTGCCACACCTGCGCTCTGCCACCCTGCGCTCTGCCACACCTGCTGGCTTATCCTCTGCGCATTGCTCCCTGTGTACTGCTCTTCACTTGTCCCCTGCCCCCGAGCATCAGCTCCCTGGGGGCAGGGCCGGGTCTGTCTTGTTCTGGGTTTCCATGCCTGGCACGATGCCGGACACATAGCAGGTCCAGTAGATGGTAATGGCCGTTAGCTCGACGCTACCCTCCCCAGGAGGGCTTCTGAGGCTGCGCCCACCCGCTTCAGTTTGCCCCGGCTCCCCTCCGCCCGGCTGTGAATGCTCTCAATGGAAACAGCGTTTAAACACTTACAGGTAAATCTCCTTACCTTCCCTGCCCCCAATCCCTGCATGAAGTTTTCACCCCGCACCCCTCTTGTCATTCCCAACTCACTGGCATAGCCATGCGTCCCTAGAAGGTTGGGTGTGGGGTGTCTTGTGGGGTGTCCTGTGGGGTGTCCTGTGGGGTGCCATGGCGTACTCGGACATGGTGCGGGTGGGTTCTGAGTCCGGATGACGTTGCACTTTCTAACCCGGGCAGGACGAACAGGGCTGGTGTTTCCTTCCTAGCGTGCAGCGCTGGCTGGACTCTGGGTCCGGGGGTTCTGCCCGGACTCCCCAGCTAGAAGGCAGAGCTTGGGGGATGCCCAGCCTTTCTTGACAGGTTTGACGACAGGAAATGTTGACAAGGCAGACGAAATCCAAACGCACTTGGAGACCTTCAGACACGGGGGGCGGTGGTTCTGGGGGGGTTGGCGGAGCAGGAGAGACGTTGCTAAGTGGTTGGGGACTCTCAGGCACGAGCTGGCACGAGCTGGGTGGGTCGGCTGGGCCTGGCCTGCACCAAGGCCTGGCCTGTGC